GTAAGAGGCGACTAAGGGAACTTAATGGCCAAGGGAGAGACAGCAGCATCCCTTTTAAAACATCACAGAAGTCTAATTGCGGTTGTCAACCCGTTTGCCAACTACTAACAAAAGCCCCCTTATGAGGTAGGCCTATGTTGACTAGTGGATAGTTAACAGTTGATATAATAATAATAAAATAATAATATTATATTATATTATTATTTTATTATTATATTTATATATACGAGTATATTACATTATATAGATACTCAGCGAACTATAGGGTTATGCTCGGAGTTTATTTGTGTAATAAAATCCGAAATGGGGATAACCGCAAAAAAAAAACAAAGTGGCCGACATAGCCCGAAGCAAGCTAAAGCGGCAATGGGCTAGTCACGTAGCTCGAGGAACCGACAACCGATTTGGAAGAAAGGTTCTTGAGTGACGAAGCCGTACAGATAAACGTAATATAGGACTGCCCTCCACTAGATAGAGTGCCTCAAATGCACTGCAGGGAGTCAGTGGATGCAGGTGGCTCAGGACCGTTCCCATTGGCAATCTATGAGGGAGGCCTATGTTCAGCAGTGGACAGATACCGTCTGATATGAAATACCAGGGGCGAAAGGGATTGTTAGTAATGAGGTCTAATAGCCCTATTGCTAACAATAGACCCTCTCAGGTCGACCTCCACGCGGTTCCCCTTGGAAACCATCATGGTTAATTCTTGTCGAATTCACCATGGTGGGCCAACTGACCTGCATTCATTCTCACCTATCATCTTTCACTGGTGCCTCGTCGGTGTATACCGATAGCGCGGACAGGGATACCATTCCTATCTATAGGGGGGTATCGTGGGCGAAACTGTATGTGTGTGTACTGTTATATCCATGGTACTGCTCATGTCTATAGGCGACGGTTACCACTTTCCATAAGGTGGGCCGTCAGCTTGTTTGCCATTCTAAGTAATATAAAAAAAAATAGCATCAATATGAACTAGTTTTCTAATAGATTAAAGTTAAAATATATTATAGTTTTAATTTATGATGATTCATAAACCAGTAATTTTGCGAAAGAATGAAATTGAAATATTAGATTGAGTGATAGGTTTAATAATTCAGAATCGGCCCCCAAACAGTAAATTATATTGACAGATTTATTCAAACATTGTTAGAGATCAATATGGATGCTTATTTTTACCTACTTTGAATAAAAATTTAATGTTTGGAATGATACCACTTGTACTATTGTTATATATATTTAAAGCTTAGGTATCCCACAATAAAATTGAAAAACATGCTACTGTGCGGTTATAGGTCTGAATTAATAAACGCTCTATATATAAAAAAAAAAATTGTGGTCAATAAAATCGATTCACTGGTTTGTATTGACGTAAAATGTCTGACACACCGACGGTATGATTAAAACAAATATTGTTTACGTGTGCTCTAACATAAAATAAATATTCAGTACTCGAAGTGACTTTGCAGAATTACGAGCATACATAAAAAAAAATGCAAAATAAACTATTATAAAATTAAATATTTTAATTGGGACCCAGTCATTTTGGTAAGATTTTATTTTATTTACTAGGTCTCCTAAATAGAATTGAATTTACAGGGTACAGAGGAATAACACCTGAGTCCTCAGGAATGTTAACGCATAGGGGGTATCATGGGCGAAACAGTATACTCTGTTATGTCCATGGTACTGTTCATGTCTATAGGCAACAGTTACCACTTTCTATAAGGTGAGCCGTCAGCTTGTTTGCCATTCTAAGTTGCATAAAAAAATAGAAGGGGGAAGTTCCCCTTCTATTTTTGGAAACTATCGTACTGAATTCCAGGTGTAATCATCACGATCGCTGGTATACGCTCCGTCAGCGTATACCAATAGCGCAGACGGAGTTAACATTCCATCATCCATGTTAAAAAAATATATATATATATATATATATATATATATATATATATATATATATATATATATATATATATATATATATATATATATATATATATTGATGCAGTTTATTTATAATGTAGTAACGTATGTATTAAATAAAAAATATTAAATGTAACCGCAATCTGTCTGTGGTGTGGTTTTTATTGAGTTACCTCAGTTCTTTTTACTTTTAAACTTTAAAACGTTGCATATTATATACCTACGTAGTTATGTATTACAAGACTTAAATACGCAATCTTAATTACAAACATTTTTTTATATGTATACCTACATACGATATCTAACCCAAAACAATCTTTTTTAATCTCTGTTTATTTATTATTTATTGTTTGTTTACATTTCAATGTCCAATATCACATAACATTAAAGAATTGTGATGAAATCTTTACGAAATATTTAAATACTTGAATATCAGTCATCGACTAAATTTTTTATTAATTTATTTATTGATTTATTCATTAAAATAATTATAACATGGCGATTCATAATAAATAAAATATAACAAAAAAGCACTTAAACCTGCTTATCTTATTTCCGTTACATTCATGTGAGTGTCAAATGAAAAATAATGACAATTGTTAAAGTGAAAACAGAAAAAAAAATTAAATAGGCAGTTCTTATGGTAAAAAGAAAATGGTATTTTTATGCTTCTACGGTTTTGTTTTCCTTTTTTTTTTTCTCTAAAAGAAAGAATATTCGGACTTTAAATAATTATTGAAAAAAAAACACTTGTCGAATTGATCCAACTGTTTGTGCTTAACGCTACATTTACCAATCCATTTTTAATTATATAAATAAGTAGATAATATTTAATAAAAAAGACAATTGTGCCTGCCTCATAAGAAGTAACGTCTTATAAATAAAATATTATACAACTAGGTGTCCAACCTTCCACTATTTTGACCGAGCTGTCAAAATAAGGCCGAAAGAAATCCGCTTAAACCTACGTCATGCCAACATCAAAGAATTGATTGAGGTAATACCGCCGCACAAAAAGCACGTATTTTTATAACAAAAACACACAACAAATGTACCTATGTTATTGGACAAGGACTTTCAAAGTGGTATGTGAGAACTAATAATCCATCATTTTATTTTTTATGCCTTGTAGTCCTGGCATAAAATGGTCCACTCCTTTCTTTCCCGTAGGTGTCGTAAAGCTTAACTGTGGGGAGGAAAGGGATTGTTAGCAATGGAGTTTGACAACCCCATTGTTAGCAATATGCCTTATTAGGTCGACCTCCACGTGGTTCCCCCTGGAAACCATCGTGAACAATTCTTGTTGAATTCGTCACGATGGGCTAAATGACCTGCTTCATCCTCAACTATCATCCTTCACTGGTGCCCCGCCGGTGTATACCGAAAAAAAAAATAGCGCGCAGTCTATCCACTTATGATATAATAACTACTGAACATAGGACATAGGTTTTGCCAGTAGTTGCTACGTTTAGCAGGTGGGTTGACAACCGCAAATAGATTTTGGTAATGTTTTAAAAGAGACGCTTATCAACCCTTAGTTACCTCTTATGACACCCACAGGAATGTAAGAACTAGCCTGTTCTATACTAAGACTACACGGCGAAGTACATTAGTAAATAGTTTCATTAAATATACAAGTGAACGTAATAAACCGCAAGAAAAACGACCGTTATTTTGCAAATATTTTGCCAGTTCGTACCCACCACATTTATATTAAATTTACCTATTAACCTACCTAGCAACCCCTGAATAAGACGAGCTACATAATCTATGCCTACAAACAATATTTCAACAATCATTCGGCAGAGATTCTGAGGACTATTCATAAAGTTATCTTGAGGATGGGGATCAGTTGCTAAAATAAATTTCATTTCGTTAGAAAGAACATATAATAAAACAATTAAAGGTTTATATACCTATCATTACCATAAGCCAACATTTTTATACAAAAAAAACTAGAATTTTCAATCTTACACAACATAATTATTTAATTTAAAATTAACGTAAAAACTACTAAATCCATTCAATCTAAAATACAACTACATAAAAAGGTAAATACACACAACTTAAGAAAAATAAAAAATATTGCAGCCTATTATTATACGAGTTAATTATGAAAAAAAATTTGTTATTGGGAAATATTAAGAGTTCTAGTGTATAATAAATTGCCAAACGATTTGAAAGAATATAATAAGTGTGTATAAAAATTTCGTATGTGCACTGTCACTTTAGCGTCAGAGGTAGATAAAATAATGTACTTTAAAAATTATATCTTTTTACTTAAATTTGAAATAAGAAGGTAGCATGTAACTGTTGTTGTTAAAAAACCAACTACGATCCTTTTACGATTCCTATATTTACGGTGCGTTTACTTGTAGAAAGTACTTTCATTTTCTATCCACAGTTTTTTATAGTTTGCATGCTACATGTCTAACTAGCCCATTATCGCTTCTACATGATTCAAATTGAACATTTGAATTTTATTTTTCTTAACAGAATGTTAGGCCAAGATGACGCTCTCCAACAGCCGTCAGCAGTTCTTGGCTTACGAGTCGCAAGGCGCTGATGACATCCAATATGGAAGAAAGGGGGGCATGTTCGTTTCCACATGCGTATGCATCAGCTTTATAATCTTATCAGTCATCGTGGCAATTCTAGTGGGCGTTATTGTATACTTCATCACATATTTTAGGGTAAGTGTATAATTGCCGGATACGTCTTACTTCACGGACAATTTAATTATTTAAATATTATCATACTTTCCTTTTTATTTGATAGTGTCAATTACACAAAACAAACGATTCTTTGAAGATACGAATATATATGAATGTGAAATATTATCACTAGATTCTTTTTGAATACCTTGTAAAGGCACAGACGTAAAGATAATTGGTTACCTTTTCTTTAACAATATACTATTTAAGTAAATTTGTTTAAATTAACAGCAATAATTTTAACCTTAAATAGTTAGATACCGGAACTGTAACCAAAAAGATAAATTCCTATTACACATGAATCATACCTACTATTTCTGCAAACATTTGTAGGCATTAAATATCTTTGCACACAGCGATGACCATCATTTATAACTTTGCGAAGTAGCTGGCACAATCAACTATATACATTGACGATTAATTTTAAATATAATAAAATAAAAAATGATATCTCGTGACCTAAAAGTCAAGCTCAATTTCATTGATGTAGACAATAGTTATAATTATCATCATAAAAACGAAATTTAAGACCGTCTATCTTAATATAATATACCCTTTTATCTCTACGTTCAGGGACGGAAGTAAAGAACTAGATAACTAGGTATCATATTCACGAGACCCGAACTGAACTCTTGACTTTTGTAATAAAAAAAATAAAACGTCAAAATGACAAGCCGTGTGTTATCGTAATAGTATCGTTGAATTTTCGATTTATTTATGTAAAATATAAATTATTGAATAAAATAAACACTATTTGTGCCAAAATGTGAGATAGAATAATTATACATAAGATTTTGTGTCTAGTTTAATTTATTACCTGTGATATTTTTGTTGTTATAATTTAAAAATGTGTGTAAAATTATTTTTCACTTTAATACTGTTTAAATCGGTGATTACTAATGCTGCCAATGAAACAGTAAGTAGTGGTCTACCCCAAAATCTATTTTTTTTTATTTTTTACTACTTGTATAAAAATAAAATTACAAATATGTCGTTTATTTACAATTTTTTATACTTTCCCAACCTCTAGATAAATGGGTGGATATGTAGGTACAATTCATTATTGTTATTTCTTAATATTGTAAATTTGTATATAACTAACTTGTATCTTAAAAATAATATTGCAACTTCTTGTCTCAAGAATTATTAATTTTCTAAACATGAAAATCAGATAATAATTTTCTAAACATTTAATATTCTTTAATAAATTTATATTTAGTTGCTTCTTGCATTTATATATTTATATACAGTATCAAAATATAAATAAGTGTCAAATAATTAAATTAATAAAATTTATAAAAATAAAATTTTCAGATCTCTCAAGGCAAAACCACTGAATTCTGGGATGAAACCGAACCTTTTGGTCAGGCAAGTTCTCCATCTCCCGACCTGAGGCTTCCTTCAGTTGTTGTACCAAGTTTTTACAGATTAAAGCTCATCACAGACTTGGAACATTCAAATTTTTCTGGCGAAGTTTACATCACAATCAGAGCCAGTCAACGAGTGAAAGAAATTATATTGCATTCTAAAAACCTCAGTATTAATAAAGATGCTAAGCTCACTGAACAAATTTATGAAAAATTTGATATATTACATAGTAAATCTAAGCGAGAGGTCAATGAAAATGTTACCATTCCATTGGAGAATAATGTCACTAATACTGCTATAGAAAATATTACTGAAATTGTTGATACCAAAAATGAGACAATTGAAAATGGGACTATTGCTACTAAGACACCAGATCCTGTTGAGCCTGAAATTATTCGTACACCAGAAACAACTCTATTGACACCTGTTGATACCCAAATCACTCATAGTACTGTACGCAATATTAAAATACTATCAATCACCGAAGGCACTGGTGATAGACTGATTCTAACCCTGGCTTCAGCTCTTACTCCTGATGTAGACTACACTCTGCAGTTATCATTTAAAGGGGATATCTCAAACTCGTTAACTGGATTCTACAAAAGCACATATACAAATAGTCAACAGGAAGTCAAGTATGTATATGAATAAATTTTTCCTTTACATTAAATCCAATAAATAATATTTTGATACAAAATATTAAACTGACCTTAATTAGTTATTTTGAAATTAATTAGTATTGCTATACTATAAACAAATTTTTCCTTAGAGGAAAAAATTATTTAAACATTTACTGTGATTAAGGAAATGTTTATATTATTTTTGAAATTTCAGCCTTTTCCTTTTTCAACCAACTTTAAAAAAAGGAAGTTCCCAATTTAGTTATATTTTTTTCTATATTTGTTACCTCATAACTCTATCTGATTTCAATCAATTTGAAATTAAATAAAAGTATTAATTTTATATATTAATTAAAATTCCTTTTTTATCTGAAAGAATTTACTTACAGATTGGTCCCATAAAAATTTCATCAAAATCGGTTCAGTGGTTTAAATTTTGAATCAAAATAACTGGTTTGGCCACAATTAAAGTTTTTTTTTTGTGGAACACAATCTTTAATTATGTTACTTTCACTGGGAGGGTGTAAATATGTGTCACTTTTATAGTCTTTACTAATATTATAAATGAGAAAGTAAATTTGTTTGTTTGTTACCTCTCGGTGCCGTAACTGTTTAACCAATCATTATGACTTTGATGTAATTTTTTTTATTATACTACTGAGAACTACTGAGAGCTGATGGCCCACCTGATGGAAAGTGGTAACCGTCGCCTATAGACATGAGCAGTACCATGGACATAACAGAGTATACTGTTTCACCCATGATACACCCCCATGCATTGCCATTCTTGAGGACTCACGTTTTATTCCTCTGTACCCTGTAAACTCACGCCATATCACACCCTTCAAACCAAAAGCACACCACAGCCATGCAAACACAAATGGGACAGAGGTACCCAAGCAACTGACCGATAATTAATGTATGCGAGAAAGAAGGATAAAGGCTAAGTCAATGAACATTATCCTGATCACAAGGATGAAGTTACAGGTAAAAGCTTGTCTAAAATAAAATAATGTTTCAGAAAATTAGGTGTAACCCAATTTGAGCCAACATCAGCCAGAGCTGCGTTCCCCTGTTTCGATGAACCAGCATTTAAAGCAAAATTCGAAATAAGTATTGCACATCCAACAAACATTACTGCATTGTCCAATATGAAAGTAGCTACTGAAGAAGCAATGTAAGTGACATCCCATTTATTATTATATCTGCAGTGCAACTGTCTACTGCTTCACACAAGCTTCCTTCATAAAGAGGGCTTTGCCGGTAGTTGCCATGTTCAGCAGGCTTGGCAACTGCAGTTAGGATTTGGTGATTTTTTAAGGAGGATACTGCTGACCATTCCTGGACTATTTAATTATCTTAGTCGCGTCTTACAATACTCACTAGAAATGAGTAGGTGACCCATTCTGTGCCAGGATCATGCATCCAATTTCATCATATCAGCCTTTAACTGTCCACCGCTGAACATAAGCCTTCCCCATAAGGGGAGTTTTGCCAGTAGTTGCCACGCTTGGCAGGTGGATTGACAACCGCAGCTGGGCTTTAGCGATATTTTAAGAGGGACGCTACTTCCTATCCCTTGCGCTCCCTTAGTCGCCTCGTACGACACCTATGGGAGAGGAAAGGGTGGCCTCTTCTATACCGTGACCACACGGCCTCTATTCTTACTTATAAAAACAAAGTTATGAATTAATATTTTTTTTATACAACTTAGAATGGCAAACAAGCTGACGGCCCACCTGATGGAAAGTGGTAACCGTCACCTATGACGGTCTAATCTGATTATGCATCAAGCCATTTTATGAAACGAACTTTTTTTAAATTAGCTTGAGTTTAGCTATTCTTTATCGTATTCCTAAGTTTTGATTGCCTAGCTCCTCATAACACAGGTATCCTAATTTGAGGACTAAGCAAACAATATGGATGTGACAATTCTTAAATTTTTCTCGTATTTGAATTTAGGACATAGTTTTTAACAACTTCTTTTAACATCTATCTTTACAGACCTGATCGACCCGGATGGCAGTGGACTCACTTCGACAGATCTGTCAACATGTCCACATATCTCGTTGCTTACGTACTATCTGACTTCAAATCACTTGAAACAAGTTACGTAAGCAAAGACAACATAACCAAACCGATCAGAGTTTGGACCAGGCCAGAACTGATAGATAATGCTAAATATGCCATCAACATTACTCCCAGACTCTTGGACTATTATGAAGACCTTTTTGGAGTACCATATGCACTGGATAAGTTGGATTTGATCGCGATACCGGATTTCTCGAGTGGTGCTATGGAAAATTGGGGCTTGATTACATTTAGGTAAGTATTATTTTACCTAACCATTATGTGGTCTGCCCGCCAGCGTATAGCAATAGCGCAGGCAGGGTTGCCATTCCATTTTCATCCATTAAAAAAGAACCTTCATGTGAGGGATACAAGATGAGCCAGATTTTCGTTATTTGGATTGGTAGATTATAAAGAAATAAGTAATTTCTCCTAGCATGAAAAAGCACTTTATGAGTTGGTATAATGCAGCCAACTCTTGAAATAAAAATTTCTTCTTTTTGATTTATCACTTCCTTCGACCATATAATTTCTCTCTGTACTGTTACTGAGCGAACAGGAGAACTGTTACTGCAAAGAAAGAAATGAAGATCGTGCTGAGTATCATGCCTCAGAAAAGATCATAACTTCACCAGCGAATTACTGTTAATGGCATGATAATGATTACCATTTCAAGTGGTTTAAGAATTTATCATGAATTTTCATATTCGATATTTCATACTCAGAAGAATTGGCAAAAGATAATGTACATCAAAATTAAGAAAAAAAAGTAAACATATCTTCAACCTAACTTCCTCACTGTCTAGGTTAAAAGAGTAATTAACATACATCTCTCCGTCTCTTTTCCACTTCAGAGAGACGACGTTACTATTCGACGAGAAGGAAGGCGTGCCCCGCGACCGGCAGAACGTGGCCATCGACATCGCCCACGAGCTGGCGCACCAGTGGTTCGGTAACCTCGTCACCATGCGCTGGTGGACCGACCTCTGGCTCAACGAGGGCTTCGCCACCTACGTCGAGTACGTCGGCGTCGATCACGTGAGTTGTGTCTTGTATAAAAATCTCATATCACGATGTTCGTTCACGCCAATCAAAGAAACCGCTCGACCGACTTAAATAAAATTATATATATGTTTTTTTATACTACTAAAAAAGTGGAAAAAGCATACAACCTACCTGATGGTAAGCGGTTATCATAGCCTATGAATACCTGCAATACCTCTATACCCTTTCTTTTAAGAACCCCATGCTGTAGTCTCTTAGAAAAACCTCAACAGGAGCTCATTTCATAACCCGAGAGTTCGTGGAAACATCTCTGAAACGCGCTATATATGTGCATTGTTGGCTCCAACTTCAAAGATTAATCAACTCGATAGGTGGCGGTAGGGAGTAAACGATGTATAAAAATCGGTTGCATATCTATTAGAATATATAACCTTTTTTTTTTTTATAAAAAGAATACTATATGCAAAAATAATTTGCAAAGGTCTATCTCACTTCTCACCTCTGTCGAATATTTCATATTTATTTGTAACCAAGTAATGGTAATAGTATTTGAATGTTACGATGTTAATATAATTGCTAGCTAATTACCTGTTCTTAAATTGTTGCATGCCCGATAGGGTATAATTGTTGATACTGATGTCAAATCCAAAGCAATAGTTACTGCTATATGTATGTACACAGTTAGCAATAAAATTCTATTCTATTCTCACCTCTATCTCACTCATTTTACTCCCAAGCAGGTATGCCTGCATAATTCAATTTAATTTATACGCAACAATACTACATTGTGTTGAATATTTTTTATAAGTAACAACTTTACAATACAACAGCAATAGTATAAAGCAACAAAATAACCAATAATAAGTGTCCAAAATACAAAATAACAAATGTTATTAGTAAGGCATAGTATATGTACTATATATTAAAATTGCTTATTCACTCTATGTTCAAAGGATTCGAGATCTAATGTTTTAAAATTCATCAATTAAGTATGTGCATCTTTCCAACAATAACAATAACTATGTTAAGGTTACATGAATAAGAATGGAGTTCTCAAGAATACCATGCCAATCCATGAGAGGTACCATTAACATCCTCAATATATTGTCGATAATGCAGTTCAGGTCTTTTGTTTTTATACCACTGAGGTGGCAAACAAGCATACTGCCCACCTGATTGTAAGCGGTTACCGTAGCCTATGAACGCCTGCAATACCAGGGGTATTACGCGCGCGTTGCCGACCCTGAAGAAATCTCCTTACCCCCTTTTTGAAGAACCCTTTAGTCTCTTGGGAAAACCTCGGCAGAGAGCTCATTCCATAACCTGAGTGTTCGTGGGAGAAAACATCTCTGAAACCGCGTTGTACCCGACCATTTGGGCTGTAAGGTATGAGGGTGAACTCCCTGTCGATGGCGAGGTTGAGGCTGAGGATGTCTGTCGGCGACGGTTACCACTTTCCATCAGGTGAATTGGCATGCTATTCTGTAATGGCTAAATAGGCTCAAAACTTTTTGTAATATAAGGCCACCGATACCTACCCTATTTAATGCAAATAAATTTATTATTATTATTTACACAAATTCACTAGGATTTCACGGGATCACCCCGGCAGAAGCACAGTCGGCCAGGGTTCAGGGCCCAGGAAGAGAAACCGGCATACAATACGGGCAATATCTAAGAGCACCGCTTTCTGCATCTTTCCCGGAAGTGAGCCGCCTCGGAATCCCAACCGTCTGAGATGTTGTTCCAGACTAGTTGGGATAAGACCGTTCACCGACAAAACTTATTATTATTATTATTAATCATTCCAAATTCATTCTGGAAAAAAAGTTGATGAAGAAAAAAACGATATGTTTCAGATTGAACCAAATTGGAACATGCTGGAGACCCTGACTCGGGACAAAATGGACCTGCTTAGGTCCGACGCACTCAAGAACACATCGCCAGTCTCGCGTAAAGTCATCGACGCATCGGAGATATCGCAGAAGTTTGATGAAATATCGTACACCAAAGGCAGCAATCTGATCCGAATGCTCAACCACACCATCTCTGAGGACTTGTTCCATAAGGGACTGATGCTGTACCTTAATAATTGGTAAGTCCTTTTTTTACCTAACATATATCAAAACCTATGTAAAAGTTGATGTAGACACACGAAAATAATATATGATATCCAAATATATGATATATATATATATATATATATTTCAACAATAAAACATATCGTGAAACATTTTGGCGTGAATTTACTGGGTACAGAGGAATAACACCTGAGTCTGTAAAAAACTAATTGATCTTAGGCATTTTTTTTTTGATGGGTTTTTTGAAAATGGTATGGTAACCCCGCCCGCGCTAACGGGATACGCTGGCGGAGCACCAGTGAAGGGTGATAGATGAGAATGAAAACAGGCCAGTTAGCCCATCATGATGAATTCGTCAGGAATTAACCATGATAGTTTCCAGGGGGAACCGCGACGAGGTCGACCTGGTTGGGTATATTGCTAGCAATGGGATTCTCAGTCTCCATTACTAACAATCCCTTTCCCCCCGATCTTAGGCATTCAAGATGCAATTATTGTAACTACATCAGGAGCACTTGTTTTTTATACACCATAGGAAGTACACCAACGCCGAAGAGAATGATCTATGGGAGAGCATGTCGGAGGCGGCGGCCGGCCTGCCGGAGTTCGAGAAGCTGTCGCTGGTGCAGTTCATGAACAGCTGGACGAGGCAGGCCGGCTACCCGGTCGTCAACGTGCTGCGCAACTACGACACAGGAGAGGTGGAATTTCAGCAGGTCAGTACGCTCCTCGTAAGGAATTGGCAGAGGGGAATGTTTGTAATGATTTCTTCATGATTTCGCTCTTGAGCAATGTTCTTTTAGCCATCAGAGTTTTTATTTAAAATGAGAATTCAATGATGTGTGCTATCTGTATGATCAGGTCAGTTTTGATGGTTTTCAAGATGGATCAGGTTGTGGCAATTGGTTTTAGTAATTAGAGATATATTTATAATAATTTGCACCGAATTTTGTATGTGTATAAAATCGTTTGCTTGGGTACCTTTATCCGATTTGTATTTCTATATTCGTGAAGCAGTTGTGTTTCAGTTTGAAGGGTAGGCTATGGCAGTTAATTTACAGAGTACAGAGGTAGTCCTCAGGAATGGCAAGGCATGGGCGTATCATTGGTGACACAGTATACCCTGTTATATCCGTAGTACTGATCATGTCTATAGGCAACAGTTACCACATTCCATCAGGTGCGCCGTCAGCTTGTTTGCCATTCTAAGTTGCATAAAAAAAAATGTGTATTTAATGTTGGTATCGGTGATAAAGAGCAAAGTGGGTTGGGTTCAATCTAGAGAGATGCGTGGGCAAACTACTAGATCGGCGAAATTCACAAAACACTGCGGCGCTCCCAATTAATTTAGTCATTTATATTGGCCCTAGATCCTATCTAGTTTGGACAGCCCTTGTCTAAGTATTTAAAATAAAAAAGCCAAATTTCTCGTATCTAAATTGTCCGTCTTCTTTTTCGGTCTTCCTCCTAGTGATTTTGTTTTATCAAACGCCGTCAGTTTTGTTTGTAGAATGTCTTAGCGACCAGCGAGAAAACCACTCAAAGAGAACCCAACAGATGAAATATGATAAAACATTCCAGAAACACCTCCCCTCCACATTTTATACTCACCATATCCATCACCATCATAATTGTTTATACTTACAGAAACTATTCACAAGTACAAAAGAACCCTACCAAAGCATGGTGGATCAGTTATGGCACATCCCCATCAGCTACGCGACGCTGAGCGAAGACGGCAGGAGCGACGATTGGACTGCCAAACCGAAGATATGGCTCAACAACCGCACCAAAACGTTCACGCTGCCTATTAACCAGAGCCAAGCTTTGTATGTTAATGTCGACGCTGTGGGTTAGTATCATCGACATTTCAGCCGTTAACTGTCCCCTGCTGGACATAAGTCTTCCCCATATGGGGAGTTTTGCCATTAGTTGCCACACTTGGCAGGCGGGTTGGCAATCACAGTTTTTTTGAAGGATGAAAACGGTATGGTAACCCCGCCTGCGCTAACGGGATACGCTGGCGGAGCACCAGTGAAGGGTGATAGGTGAGAATGAAAACAGGCCAGTTAGCCCATCATGATGAATTCATCAGGAATTAAACATGATAGTTTCCAGGAAGAACCGCGAGGATGTCGACCTGGTTGAGTATATTGCTAGCAATAGGATTCTCAGCCTCTATTACTAACAATCCCTTTCCCCCCTGGCAATCACAGTTAGGCTTTTAGTAACGTTTTAAGAAGGACGCTGCTGCCCATCCCTCGCCCTCCTTTATTCGCCTCTTACGACACCCACAGGAAAGGAAAAGGTGGCCTATTCTATGCCGAGACCAAACAGGGTATTTATTAATATTTTTTATAATATTAACAGGGTATTACCGTGTGAACTACGATAAGAGGAACTGGGAGTTGCTCAATAAAGCACTCAAATCTGGCCACGTGAACTCACCAATAGCTAAGGCCCAACTAATTGACGATGCTTTCAACCTGGCCAAGGCCTCTCAGCTGAACTACAGCTATGCACTGGGACTAACTACGTGTGTCATAGATGGAGAAGACTCCAAGATTGTGTGGGACCTCCTCTTGAACAATATGGGATTCTTGAGGCACAATTTGAAAGCGACTTCAGGATATATTTATTTCCAGGTAAAGCTGTGATTTGATCGAAATTTTGGTTACTTTAAAGATTACTCAAACTAAAGAAGACTTGTTCCCAAAGCACATAAGTACCCATATTCTTTATCAGAGTATTGATACAAACTCAACAATTGTCTCATTTCATATTGATTTCATACACATTATATAAAAGTTTTACTCGCTGCTTTTGGAAAATTTAAATTTTTCACATCTTAAAAATTATTTAGTATACATACAGTGTAGAAGGACTTCTCACTAGATGGAGTGATGATCACAAATGTGCTACATATAGTCAATGTTCTGCAATGGATAATTAACAACTAATTTTTTTTTATACAATTTAGAATGGCAAACAAACTGACGGCCCACCTGATTGAAAGTGGTAATCGTCGCCTATAAACATGAGCAGTACCATGTATACTGTTTCGCAAATGATACCCCCCATGCGTTGCCATTCCTGAGGACTCAGGTGTTATTCCTCTGTACCCAGTAAATTTACGCCATATCCCACCCTTCAAACTGAAACATAGCCATGAAAACACAACTGCTTCACGGTAGAAACACGAATAGAACAGAGGTACCCAAGCAATCGACTTTTATACAAAGTCTCCCTCTGGTAATTGTGATGTTATGTATAATTATGATGTACATACAAGTAATATGATTTTAATATCTTATGATGGGCGCAATTACAATTCCATAGATAAACTGCTGCACAATTTTAATTCTCTATGATTTTTTCAATCTATGGTTTTATTTAAATTAAGAACTATATATTCTTTACAGGATTATATGAGGCTAATATTAAAAACTCAACTGGAACGTCTGAATTATGGGCTGGATAAGCCGAAGAATGATAATGAGGCTTTCCTCATTGAGAATTTGGTAATGTGGGAGTGCTATGTCGAGTCTCCTAGATGTTTACAATGGGCGAAGAATGAATTCAGTAAATGGGTAAATGGGACGGACATCAACAATAACCCGTAAGTTCTCAAATCCAAACTTTATTCTCAAAATATTGCAATGAACGCTTAAATATAGCTTTTATTGCATGTATACAGTAGCAATAACTAGTTTTTAAATATAGTAAAAAAAATATAAACGAAAATATTTTAATAACGTCCATTGTAAATTTATAGGGGTGAATAATTTATAGGACTATCTATATAATTAATTACAAAATCAGTTATATAGATATTGTAATATAATTAATTCAGGTATCGAAATTTAATTCAGGAAAGCTCAGTTCCCAATCGGGATTCAAACCCGGAACCACATTTACGCAACGAAAAAGAAAGGCGTCCAATAACATGTGTTCATGTGTGCCTACAGTATACCAAGCTACTTACGTTCTCTGGTGTACAATATTGTACTGAAGCACGGCGGGCGGGAGGAGTTCGAGTTCCTGTGGAACGTGTTCCTCAACTCCAGCGACCCCACCGTCAAGAGCATCATCATCAACAACCTGCCCAGCACCAACAATGAGGGACTCATTACTATGTGAGTGTAACTGATAATAATACAAGACGACCGTCACGCTCTGGAAACCATCGTGGTTAATTCCTTATGAATCCATCATGATGGGGTAACTGATCTATTCTCGTTCTCACCTATCACCTTTCACTGGTGCCCCGCCAGCACCAGTGAAAGGTGATAGGTGAGAACGAGAATAGCAGCAATAGTATCCTTTTTTTAAAAAAAAAAGTGGATCCCTTTAGATCCCTAGAGACTCACTTTAAATTGAGCTGGACTTCTACCAACTAAATCCCCAAGGTGTTCCGCCTCTTCACCTTTATACCTGGGCTATTACATTTATGATATCTCATTTTTTTTATTTATTTAAATTTTATTTCACAGTTAAATTTTATGTACATTTGGCAAACTTCATACCCTAATCTACATAACCGTTCAGAAAGATCATTACAAAGATATATATATAGAGAGAGAGAGTGCAGCTATGTTTGCATGGCTGTGTTTCGGTTTGAAGGGTGGGATATGGCGTGAATTTACTGGATACAGAGGAATAACACCTGAGTCCTCAGGAATGGCAACGCATGGGGGGCATCATTTGAGAAATAGTATACTCTATTATGTCCACGGTGCTGCTCATGTCTATAGGCGACGGTTACCACTGTCCATCAGGTGGGTCGTCGGCTTGTCTGCCATTCTAAGTTGTATAAAAAAAAAACCATTGAAACTTTGCCACTAGAGGGCGTCACCTGACAAGATAGTCGGTTTATCCTGACGTGCACGGTTGGACTGGCCGCAGGTTGCTGGAGAAGAGCCTGACGGAGATCCCGAAGCAGTACGCGATCGCGGCGTGGTCGGTGGAGGCGCCGGCGGGCACGCGGCGCGCGCAGGCGCTGCTGCGGCGCCACTTCCGCCGCGTGCGCGCGCGCTTCGCCAGCCTCGACCCCTTCATGCTGCCCGCCGCGCTCAGCGGCGCCTTCGGCTTCATAGCCAGCGCCGACGAACTCCACCAGGTCGCATTACATACCAATGTCGTTTCACTTTATTATGTACTATTTTCATTTTTAAGTACCCTATTAGAACTTAACGCTGTGAACAATTTTTGCAAGTAAATAGATCTTATATAGATAGATAGATAGATACTCTTTATTGTTTCCTCCAAAAGATTACAAATACGCACGCACGCACGCACGCACGCACGCACGCACGCACGCACGCACGCACGCACGCACACACACACACACACACACACACACACACACACACACACACACACACACACACGCACGCACATGAGAGTGTATGCGTGCATGTATGTGTATGTGTATAGATAGATAAATAAATAATTTATTTGCATTAAAGTACACAAATTATAATAAATACAGATATACAAAAAAGCGAGATAAAAGAAATAAAAAAAAATACATAAAACCAAGTTTGTACATGAGTTTATGTGTGCGTGCGTGCGCGCGTGCGTTCGTACGCCTGTGTACCGCAATGTAGTTTTAACTAGGTCCGTGCTCAGTATATCGCTGCAGCGTATAAGACGCTACAGTGCTGTTTTTTAGCACGAAACATGGCGTTCCAAGTAGAAATAGAATTGACTAAACTGTATGATATTTATTATTATATGTATTGATACATTTTATTGAATATATGTATTGATCCTCTGTAAAGTTACACAATTTTCATCCGCCATTTTTTTCATGTGCGTGAAAAATAAATGTTTTTTATGAAATACTTTCCAGCTAAAATCGTTTGCAATGGAGCACAAAGAGGAGTTGTTGCCGATGTCGCAGACTCTGCAGAAGTTGATCGACACGGCGACACTGCGCATCGACTGGATCGAGCGTTACTCCGCTGACATCAACCGCTGGTTCCAGGATTATGTCACCAGTACGTATCCTGTCTTCCCCTTCCTTTCCCATTTGTGTTATAAAAGGCGACTAAAGGAACTTAATGATTGAAGGATAGGCAGTATCCCTCTTGAAACATCACCAAACAATAACTGCCGTTTCTAACTCACCTGTCAAGCTTTGCAACTACTAACAAGACCCTGCCAGGGGATGGTCTTTATTCAGCAATGTACAGTGAAAGGCTGATATGTTGATGATGATGTCGAAGTCATTAGTATCCTATTTAATATTCTAACAAAAAAATATGATTTTTTTGTTTAAAAAAAATTTTGACTACTAACATGTGTCCAGCTGTAAAGTCAGTGTTGGAGACGACAAAATTGCAATGGCAACATTGCTTTAGTTTCCCGCTCTCTTTACCGTCAACCGCCATCGCAGGCGAATATGTAGTGAAAATAAATACCTAGTACCTCCAAACTTTCTTGTTTATACACTCTTTCCCATTTAATATAGATGCTTATTTTGTTACTTTTTCAATCTATCTTTCTTTGGGAATAATGTAAAATTTCACGAGTAATAACACTGTGTTACTAATGATTAAGTTTTTGCTCCTGGTTATTATTTATTTATTCATTTGTTACAATAATAACAATTTGCAAACGGAAATAAGCATGCCATTAAAAAGAAGACAATACAAAAATTTATCAATACACAGTTTGCCAACCTTACATCATTTAACAGTAAGTTAGAAGTAAACGTTATAACGCTTCTATAGATGTACATTAAATTACTGATTACATTTATGGTCCAAATTCAAGATATCGAATTTTTCCCTAATTTTGTTGAACGATTGACACATCCGATGGATAGGATTATTTTGTGACACATGTTATTAGTATGTTACATTCAAAACTCTTAACCTTTGTAGTCTGCTTAGGTATCTCTAAAATTTAGTAAAACTCCAGTGGTTTAGAGTTAACCTGCCACCGAGCAATTTTGTGCTTAAATGGCTGTTTCAATTTAAAAGGCAGGATATGGCAATTAAATTACAGGATATGGTGCCATTACACCATAGTCCTCAAAGTGGATTCATAACAATAGGCTAACTGACCTACCTTTTCATTCTCACTTCTCATTTCTCACTGGTGCCCCGCTAGCGTATACGATTAGCGCAGGCGGGGTAACCATTCTATTATTATCCATTTAAAGATAACCGTAGTCCTCAGGAATGGTACGTACACATGCGTTGCATTTCTGAAAATTGCAATGTTATTGTCTCTGAAAATGAAACTCCAGAGTATGGTATTTCAGTCATGGAACACTATACAGGAGAGTGAGATAGAGATATCCATGGAAACGAGTTTAAACTAGCGTTTTTTTTTTATTTGCAGACAAACTAACAGCGTCCCCTGTAAACGAGCCAACCACGCCCGCCTCAAACACTCCAAACAACACGACTGGCGGATTGAATATAACCGAAGTGATATTAAATAGTACAAATGTACCCATCGCCAACCCACCGAACGCCATGCCAGTGAACCACACTAGTCTATAATCAAAACTTTCGCAGTACCGTCAGCAGGAGAAATCGAACGACAAAGAAAGTTATTGTTACATAATATTTTTATGTTGTGTAATTTGGTGAACGACTCACGTTGCTGACTGTACTGTGTTCTTGTACATTGCAACACAGATATGGATTTATATGATACATCTACTTTGCGTGTATTTTTTTTTGTCAAATTGGACTCTATTCTGAGTTCTATCATGAAAGGAAACATTTCAGAATTTTGTGGAGCCTGGGCCGATCAATGTACACTAAATTAAAAAAAAAAACTAATCTATAACATTTTCGGGTTTAACATCTTTTCTCACAAACTTATTTTATTTTTGTAACACAAAACAAAAACAGCTGTAAATTTAACAATTGCAACACAAAATCAAATGTAGATATCAGTGTTAATTTGATTAACATATTATATACATTTTTTTTTCTCCTATTATATCGTGACAATAAAAACGTGCGATATCCCTTCGGACTACGGTCTACAAAAATGCCTAATCTCTGTCCATGATCGACGCACACATTGATGGATTGATAACTAACTTTGTGTATATGAATTTACCCCAATTCAAATATGATATCCTATTTGAACATATATTTAAATTCTTATTTCAAAATAAGAAAGTTGAAATTACCTGTTGAAATAAGGACTTCATATTGGAATAGAGCGCAATTATTTTGTAAAATTTGAACATCTACTTAATACTTTTATATTTTTAGTATGTTTGTAAATAATTGTTTTAATGTAAGTTAATCTTTTCTAAATTTATTGTGTTCTCCTAATACCAATATTGTCTATAACTCGATGTCCATAGACAATATTTGTATGCCTTTCTGGTAAGTGACGTTACTGTATTTTTTCTATTTTGTTAATATGTCTTCCTTATATGCCAGTTACTTTATACAAACTGTCTAGTTACCATAAACTTTATTTTAAAACATTTTAATACAACTCGGTGATGTAAATGATTGCAAAATTTGTATTAGATTATATTAAAACTCAAAAAGGATAATAAAAACTTAACCATATTGCGGATACTCTTGGAACTGATTTTTTTTTTTTACAGGCAACACCAACATTAGTGTATTTTTTTTTCTGGTATGACTACTATTTGTTGCTACATAAATTTTAAAAAACATAATTTCCGGGAATTTACGCATTGTTTCTATTTTCCTAATTGGGTTTTATTACTGTTATATATTTACAGTCTTTATCTTTTATTAGATAAGTGTTTTACATTCACAACTTTATTATTTTTTAACAACGAAAAAAAAATTAGGCTCTTTATAAAATCGGGAACAAAGTATACCCTGAATTAAATATATAACTTTTCAATATACCTATTTAACTGTTAGTGAGATGGCACTTTATTTAAAATTACGAATTTAAATCGATAGAAAGAAATGGACCATAATATAGAAATTTTAGCTATAAGTTAAGATAGACTCGTTTATTATTAGATGTTCCTAGTTATAATTGTATTTCTAGTTGTAAGGATAGTATCAACTGAATTAACATGGGTTCCTTTTAGAGTCAACGCAAATTTGCCTTGTTCATGAAAATGTCAGACCCATATTCAAATAACTATTTAACTATTGAAATTATTTACCTTTTTCTTTAAGAACCTTAGTAGATATTATAAATTTAAGTTTATAGAAGTTTTTTTGTGAATAACAAGGCAAAAGTGGCAATGAAAAGCGATAAATGGAGTGTAAAGTGGTGATCTGCGAGTAAAAAGCCTCACTGGATGAGTCTCTCTCGTTTCTTCGTCTCTCTTTTATACAACTTATTTCTTTTATTATACTTTTTACTTTATTTATAGCGTTTTGCAGCAAATAGTTGCTCTGTTTTGTTAAATCAATTTCAGTCGTATGCTTAAACCGTTAAAGTCTATTTTCGAATGACAACGAATTTGACTCTTCAGCATTCGCTGACTTAGTCCTAGTAGCATGCCAAACCTTATCATGGCGCCATTAAAGTGACTATTTAATATAACCTATCGTATTTAAAAAAAAAAACTCCTTTTTAATAAGAATGGCAACTTTAGCTTTTAAAAGTTTTATTTATTATATTTTTTCTAAATCTATTAAAGAAAGAAATTATTATATTTACAGCAATAATAATCATGTAGTATGTTCAAAAATCTTTAAAATAGGATTCCTAAATTCTACCATGTTATATATAATCTGTGATAATAAGAATAGAAACGACCACAGACAACGAATCGACAACCTCAATCTATCAAATAACTAGTATCTTTCTAGTCTTATCTCAATTTGGGGTCAGCATAATGTATTAAGGGATTACAACTTAATAAATTTGCAGTCTGCAAATTAATAGGTTTGCAAAGAGAACTATATTTCTTGCAGTTTTTTTTTTTTTTTTTAATATTTAATCAATAAACGTAACACGTCAAAATATAACAGGAAATCATACCTACACTTCATTTTAATAATTATTTCTTTATACATACATTTTTTTTTTTTTTATTTATTCATGACCATGGATACAAGTCCTTCAGTCGCAGGCTTTTATACACACAAATTTTGCTGTGTTGCCATTCTTATCTCGTATCGTAATCGTACTAAAATAGGTCAAATTCTCATGCTGTTGATTAATAATTATTACCTTATCGTAATAATGGAGACAATGTGATTGATATTTGACATTTATAAAATACGACAGGAGCTCTGTAATGTGAATATTTATCTTTGTTGTTGTCTTCTTTTTTTTTTTTCTTACATTTTTAGTCTATGTATTTTGTTTTTGCAACTGTGTAACTTCAAATATTTAATGTACAGTATTGATTTTTAATGTTTTATATATTGCATAGAAAATAAATAGGAGCATCTGCATATTCTTATATATTTGTTACTCTCAATATAAGACCATGATTATATGTAGGAAATAGAATTTCTTTTGTTTTTTGTTTTTTTTTTATGTAAAAATTGTTCTAAAGTTACTAATAAAGTGTGCAATATATTAGATTTTTCAATTCAATAATCCCAAAATACGACATTACGCCTTTATCCATTTATATCTTCATATCTATAGATTGTCCACTTGCAAAAACTGCTGCACCAAATTGGATTTACAGGGTACAGAGGATAACACCTGAGTCCTCAGGAATGGCAACGCATGGGGGGTATCATGGGCGAAACAGTATACTCTGTTATGTCCACGGCACTGCTCATGTCTATAGGCGACGGTTACCACTTTCCATCAGGTGGGCCGTCAGCTTGTATGCCATTCTAAGTTGTATAAAAAAAAATTAATGTAATTTTGAAACTTGTGTTCCTGAAGATGCAACTTAAAAGCTAATATATGTTTCATCTTGATATGCTATCTGGAAGTGGTCTCTTGCATTGGTTCTTTCTTATATATAATAGATCTAAATTAAAAATCTGAAATTCCTAATCGAAACAAACACCAGCAGATTACTTTTAGCTATATTCAGTGTTGAATTATTGGCATATGAGAATATCGAGCTGATATTGAAATAAAAAGTTCTTTACAAAACAGGCTTTTTAAAAAAACCCATATGCTATTTTAGGATATAAGTATGATAATTAAAGATTATTTCTCACAAAAAAAAAAACTATAATTGTGACCAAATTAATTATTTGTAATTAAAAACTAAACTACTAAACCAATTTTGATAATAATTCTATCAAATTAAACTGTATATATATCCTTTCAGATAAATAAAGACACCCACGAGAAAGTAAGGGATGGACTATTCTATACTGGGACCTACACGGCGTAATAAATACATATTATTTATTATAAGATTCAAATACAGTAAAAACGCTTATTCACGCTTCCTTTATACGCATTTTTATTATTCGCGGATTAAAAAATTGCCAATATATTCGCGGTTAAGAATTTATTCGCAGATCCAATCGGTACATATTAATATAAAAGATTCATATACGCGTAATCGCGTATATGAATACCCTTCATAAACGCGTCGACAAATAAACTGATAAAAAAGTAAAAATTACCTTATTGCAACTGCGCCTAAAGTATGTTTTTTTTAATAAGTGAAAATAGTATGGTAACCCCGTCTGCGCTATCTGTATACAATGGCGGGGCACCAGTGATAGATGACTAATGAGTATGAAAGCAGGTCAGTTAGCCCATCCTGACGAATTCTACTAGAATTAGCCACGATGGTTTCCAGGGGGAACCACGCGTGGAGGTCAACGTGACAGGGTATATTGCTAGTAATGGGGCTATTTGTCCCCATTACTAACAATCCCTTTCCCCCCGCCTAAAGTATGTTGCAGAATGTTATTGCCGCTGTATAAGTGGTTCGATTTTTCATATTCACGATTTCTGTATTCGCGGTATATTTACGAAACGTATACTACGCGAATAAAGTGATTTTACTCTATAAATTAAGAGCATTACTATCAAATCTACATGATCTTTATTAAAATTCTTGCAAGTGGAACATTTAATTGTAAATTAGTTTTGCAGAATGGCACGTAAAGTGTCTTATTGACGGAATACCTACGAATAGTATAACATAATAGTGTACTTTCTGTAACAAGACCAAACGTATGCGTTACATACAACACTACTATTCTATGTGTTTTAATATTAAAACTAAAATTTATCTACGCTGAAGATTGTCCCTCGTCATATTCAAATAGGAATAAAAGGAAATATTTTGCGCTGACAAATTGTTCCTCGTCAGCACAGGCCATTATAGACATAAATAATACACCTAATCTACTATAATACGTAAATTATTATAATACGTAAAACAATAGAATAAGTAGATAATAACATATTGTATTCACATTTTTTAATCCTTCACAAAAATATCGAACTACATTTCAAAGTCTCATTCAAAGCGCTGTTATATTCTGTAAAGCATAGCGCTCGCTCTAAAGCTTGTATAAAACAGGAAAGGGGTCATCCGTTACTGTTACTCCTGCGAGCGACGACCTCGCAGATGGCTCCGAGTTCGAACTCGGCTATTTTTTTATGCTTATCTGTAATCCAGCTGCATACTGTTATAGGTACTGTATAAGCTAGCATAGTGTATTGTCAAAGAGCAGGTAGCTTAGATTATAATAGCTAGTATAACTTCTTAATAGACATTAATGAAAAAAGAGATGTTTAATAACTGGCAATGTGTTTTTTCACAAATATATGCTGGCAAGTGAATTTTTACCCTTCATAGTCGTGTAACGTCCTTCCTTTCACCCGACTTGATTTACGAAATCAATAAGTGTGAAAGAGAGATTTGTCTCTCGGTTCACTTTCAACATGGCGGGCGAACAGATGGCGCGAAAAACAAATTTACAGAGCTTAATAAGTACATACTTAATACAACTGCCATCTTATAATGCATTATTTAATATGATTAATACTCAACATAATACATGTTTATCTAAGCTTATTATAAATAAAAATTTAACCATTGCGATCTGTATCTACGTTGTTCACTATCAGCTTTCCATATTCGATAAACCACGAGTTTAGCCTCGCACTAAAATCAATAATCTGCTTGTAAACAAGCCCTACATGTGGGGCAAACAATTCATTTAGCAAATTCTTTTTTATACACAATAATTTATGGTTTTGTGTGTTTATTTGGAAGTAAATAATTATTTCCCTTTGTTATTTTAATATTAGTGTTAAATAAGAGGCACAGGAAACAATGGATTCAGCCAATGTAGGATATTCGTATCATTTGCCGTCAGGCGGGTGGAATTATAAGATTCGCAACACATTATCACAATTTAGTGATCTGTTCAGCGAATTTAATAAATACATCGCGCCGGCATATCATCACGACCGATGCGAAAGGTATTATTTCATTATTTTACTAAGTGCGACATATTTAAACTCTATAGGTATTTACAACAATATATGATGACCTTCGTTTTGTTCCGAATGTCTTTTAGAAAACACTTTGATGTCTCCTATCCTTACAGATGTAAGTGTTTGCCGAATTTGACAAGTCTTGTTCAAAGCCGCTGTTTTTTCAGGTCTGTTCAAATGAGGATATATTCAATGCACAAAGGGGAGTTTGTAATGGTTTTTATAGCATTTTTTGCTTGCTTCGGTTTGGGTGTGTTCATAGGATTAGCAGGTGAGATTTTTATATACTTCAACTAGGGTTTCATATGTATGATGTGTATGTATTTAAAAAATCACGGTGCATATATGAAGGTACAGAATCACGAAAAATGAAATATATCAGCTCAAAAAGAAGCAGGAAGTAACTATATGTTCAAATATTTTCTAAATTTATCACTCTCAAACACAACTTAAAGAATTCTTATATACATATGTATGCAACAAAATGGTCCTACTTGCTTACGAATACAGTATAAATACTACCAGAAAACATGTACTATATATATTTGATATTTTAATGAAATACCAACCTAATTCTAATAAACCTAGCTCAATTGTAAACACATTTTTTATATCAATTTCATGTACTTACCTAGAAGTCTAATTTAGCGTTTTTATTATCGAAGTATGTTTGTATAAACGCAAAGTTTAACATTGATTTCTACACTAGGCTGAGCATGTTTTTTTTATACAACTTAGAATGGCAAACGAGCTGACGGCCCACTTAATGGAAAGTGGTAACCGTCGCCTATAGACATGAGCAGTACCATGGACATAACATAGTATACTGTTGCGCCCATGATACCCCCCATGCGTTGCCATAACTGAGGACTCAAATGTTATTCCTCTGTACCCTGTAAATTCACGCCATATCCCACCCTTCAAGCCGAAACACAACCATGCAAACACAACTTCTTTACGGTTGAAACACGAATAGGACAGAGGTGCCCAAGCAAACGACTTTTGTACAAAGTCTCCCTCTGGTATCAAGCTGAGCGTGCTCTATAGGAAACAGGAATTGTGTTGCCAAATACATGTTTATAGAAATTAAAATAAGCTTTCTAGTCGTACAGAGATAACTCTAATCATCATTGTCTTCCTGCCCTTATTTCAATTATTTGTCAGTGTAATATGTTTTTATTAATTATACACGAAATTTTTGCTTTTTATTTTACGACGGACCACCTGTCAGACGTCAATCCTATTTGGGAATACATTTATTGGTGGTTAGGTTGGTAAAGAATATTGAGGAAAAAAGCTCGTTTTGACCCTCAATCAACGCAAAAATAACACGCAAATAGCACCTAGATTATTAACTGACTTCAAAAAAGTTATATAAGGTTACGCGATATCTCCTATTTTAAACCATTTTTTTTTATTATTATTTATAGAATTACTTAATGGCAAGTTCTAGCTTTTGGCAAAAGTGAACATTGATACACTTTATAAAGTACTAAGACTCCTATCCGGCTTCGTACGGGTAGATAGAATTTAAAAAAATAGATAGATAGGTACCTACTCTTTATTGTTTTCTTCAAAAGATTACAATAGTAAACTTATTCTAGATATTAACAACAATTACAAAAAATAATCACAGTGATGTATATCCTAAGCAACTCGCTGTTAATGTAGCTTTCTATAGGTGAAAGAATTTTTAAAATTAGTTGAGTAATTTTTCAGTTTACCCATTACTAAAAAAAAACACACACAAATAATCAAATCTTTTTGTTTTATTATAACAGTATAATAAACTCATTTTTGCAAAAAAAAAAAAATGCATAAACCGATTATCGTTTGAGTATAAAATACAGTTGTAAATAGGTTCCTAACTACTGCAGATACTATATAATTCAACACTAACTAGAAATCAGTTCAGGGTACGATAAGGCTGATACATCTGAAGAAGGTATACGCATGGGGGGTATCATGGGCGTTTCATAAAAGTTCCGCAAAATAACACCTAGTTCTGTAAAATATTTTATACAGTATTTAAACATTTCAGGTCCATCACCAACGTCCACCACGTCGGTAGCCGCTTCCACGCTGCTGACAAACGCCAGTGACATATACCAAGGCCCGTTCCATTTGCACAGTCCCGCGCTTGGCACGCGCGTGCAGCAACTGTGGCTGCTAGCCGAAATACTGACCAATAATAATGACGGTAACGTTCCATTTTTAAAATTACAACTGAAGGCCTTACGAGAGACGCGACGTTTAAATTAATGTAAGGTCATTTCTCGACTTCACCAATTAATAATCATTGGTCTTCATAATATTTACATACAAGAAATGTAATATCTAATAATCCCATACGAATTACATAGAAGAAATGATTAAATAAAAACTGTAAATCATATGTTGGCCTCCTTTCTTCTTATGCATATATAATTAGTAAAAAGAGGACGACAGATATCACCATCACCATCAGTTGCTATTTTTCTTAATTCATAGCAGGCTAGTGTATAGAAAATGTTTGATATATCAATTATTTGATATATCAAACATTGACAAATTTTACATTACTAGATTATATATTCGACACAGTTTATGTAGAAAGTATGCAAGTAGGGTGTATCTGAATTTGGTAGGGTTATACGGCCGTATAACATTTTCTGTACACTAGCCTGCTGTAAATTGACAATTTTATCACTCCTATGTAATTCCTTAGTCTTAGGCTACGTTTTATCCCGGTTAATATACATATCCCAGTTACGTGGATTAAGTCGTGGATAAAAGCTAGTAGTCGATAACTATAATATATGTATATCTTCTATATGTCTTCCGGTTGACCTCCAAACTACAGCGGTAGTCACATTGCTTTGCAATCTCAAATAATGATATACAGTCGGAACAAGAGACATACTTTTTAAATTGCCTCATGTCTGGGTTTTCAGGGCTATGTACTAGGGATGGGTAATATACAGCAATATCTATAATTTGTAGATACAATATCTATATATTGGGCTAATAAAATATATGTTATATATCGGTTGTCCAATCTATATATACTTATAATAAATCTATAGAGAAGTCAATTCTGTACATGATATATATTTCCAAAATAACTATCAGGGGGTGATTAGTGATCGATACTGATGATATGATGATGAATTGATAATGATTGTTAGTAATGCTGGCAATATACCCTATCAGGTCGACCTCCACGCGGTTCCCCCTGGAAACCGTCGTGATTAATTCTAGTGGAATTTGTCACGATTGGCTAACTGACCTGCTTTCATCCTCACCTATCATCCCTCACTGGTACCCGGCCAGCGTACACCGATACCACAGGCGGGGTTACCATTCCATTATCACCCATTAAAAAAAAACTATTGTAGAGGAGTTGTTATACCTAAATACTTTGATCAGAGACACGATTAAAATTCTATCATTCTTAAATATGGATATGTAATAATGTAAATTGATTAAATGATTTTTATTTTCAGAGGAAATATTTGATAAGAGTTTCCAAATAAGTATATCTATAGATGGTATACTAAGTGACCATACAGCTGTTAACCTGATACCAGAAAGCTCCGCTACAAATCGGTGAGTTCTTCCACCTCCAAAATCAATTCGCCTGCCAAATTATTTATATATATATATATATATATATATATATATATATATATATATATATATATATATATATATATTGATATTTCTTTTCTTTTTCTTTGTATTGTCATATTTTTTTCTATACAACTTAGAATGGCAAACAAGCTGATGGTCCACCTGATGGAAAGTGGTAACCGTCGCCTATAGACATGAGCAGTACCATGGACATACCAGATTATACTGTTTCGCCCATGATACCCCGATGCGTTGCTATTCCTGAGGACTCGGGTGTTATTCCTCTGTACCCTGTAAATTCACTGCCATATTCCACTTCAAAACAAAACACAGCCATGCAAATATAAATCTGAATGTGTATATATACATATATATATATATATATATATATATATATATATATATATATATATATATATATATATATATATATATATATATATATATATATATATATATATATATATATATATATATATATATATATATATATATATATGTATATGTATGTTTCCCTTTTAAAGTAAAATAAAATTAAAATAAGTGTGGTAACTATTGGCAAAACCCCCCTTATGGGGAAGATCTATGTTCGGCAGTTGATAGTTAACAGCTGATATGATGATGATGATGATGAAATGTTTTGTACACAGACAAATCTTGTCTGTGAACAAAAGATGCATGATACAATACGGCTCCATCCACCAAAGCGATAGTAAATAAATAAACCGTAAAGTACATAATTAACACATATTAGATGGCAGATTACAGCAATTATGTGTGACTTGCGCACTCTCTTAAACTTACGGGGAAAATTTACAAAAGTACGATTATGTATCTCGAGTACTGGTCATAAAGGTGGCAGATAAAATACCACTACATATTACTGATATCCGAATATTAAGATGGATGTGTGGTGTGACAAGAATGGACAAAATTAAGAATGAGTATTGTAAATTTAAAGACAATATAACTGATAATTACTTTTATTTATGCAAATTATACTAATTGTAATGATAATATTTTATAAAAAAAAAAACTAATTTTGTATCCACAGACATTAGAACGAAATGTCAAAAATAAGTCTATTTTTACACTAGACTGTTAGGCTCAGGAACATAACGTATAATGCCAACAAGTATATCGGAGGAAGTTTTAAAGTAACGCTAGTAATAAAATGAGAAGTAATTGTTTGTCATGGTAATGACCATGTGATGCGCAGATAAAAAAAAACAATGAAGTGGATTCTGAGGCGCAATTTAAAAAGAAGTGATTGCAAGATGACGGCACGTTGAAATGAATGGAAGAAAATATATTATGCCGAGTTCAAATAAGATAACAAACATCTTTGTAAACATTCATAGTTTATTTCTTCCATTGCAGGACTCAACATCTAAAGTGCAAAGAGCAAGTATGCGACGAGGTTATGATCCTACATTTAGGTTCCTTAGTGTACACACACTACGTACTAAACATACGATTTTATGGACTCAAGGAGTTCCACAAAAGATATTATATTAAAGAAATTATATTCTATGTAAGTATGTCATACGATTCATTTTAAATTGCAAAAATACCTACCTAACTTAAAACTGCAAATTAGTTGTTGATTAAAAATTTCTTTGTTCTCTTTTTAAAAATAATTTGTATATATTTTTTTTTTCAGTTTAAAACTTATAATCCAGGTTTCACGCAAATGGAAACGTGGTTCAGATTTATTTTTCTACTCACGACCTTCACAATCGCTGTAAGTATTGTCCAGATAACGTAAATCAAAGACATTCTTAACATTACGTACTTAATAAAATAGAAAAGAAATTCAAATTAAATTCTTGTGATTTACATTCATTCATTAAAAAAAAAACGTACGTACTCATTACTTTATCTGGTTAATAAAAAAGGAAGGAAGTTCTAATTAAATTCTTGTGACTTTCATTCATTTAAAAATCATTCTTCATTCATTCTTCAAAAAAAGGTGCGTATTGTACAAGGTCCTATAGAAATATCTGTAATTGGAATACAAAGGTTATCATAGTAGAGATAAACAAGACCATAGATTTTGATACATTGTTTGTACTAACAGACCACTTGGGGAAGTCAATCATCATAAACAAAATCATGGATGGGCATCACAGAATACTCTATAACGTCCATAGTACCATATACCCATTGCCATTCATGAGAACTATGTTAGTACCTGCGCCTTCGCACGGTATTATAAAAATAATCTTGTATTATAAAATTTTAATATAGTGTTATCTACTATTTTTTTTAATGGGTGTAAATGGCATGGCAACCCCGCCTGCGTTATTAGTATACACCTAAGAACAAGGAATTACATAGAAGGAATGATAAAATAAAAACTGAAAATCATATGGTTGCCTCCTTTCTTCTTATGCAAATATAATTAGTAAAAAAAGGACGAAAGATACACCATCACTTGCTATTTTTCTCAATTCATAGCGGGCTAGGGTATAGGAAATGTTTACGGCCGTATAACCCTACCAAATTCAGATACAACCTGCTTGCATACATTTTCATAAACTGTGTCGAATATATAATCTAGTAATGTTAAATTTATTATTGACAAATAATTAACTTATAAAACATTTTCTATATGCTAACTTACTATGAATTGAGAAAAATAGCAACTGCTAGTGTATCTTACGTTCTCTTTTTACTTTTTTATTTTTGCATAAGAAGAAAGGAGGCAACCATATGATTAACAGTTTTTATTTCATCGTTCCTTCTATGTAATTCCTTGTTCTTAGGTATACACTGGCGAGGTACCAGTGAGAGGTGATAGGTGAGGATGAAAAGGCGGGTCAGTTAGCCCATCGTGACGAATTCAACGATAAATTAGACAGGATAGTTTCCAGGGGGAACCGCGTGAAGGTCGACCTGATAAGGTATAATGATAGCAATGGGACTAACCTCCCCTTTTATAACAATCCCTTTCGACCCAACTACTAAAATTTTTGATTGCATCTATATGGCAGAATTTGTGTTTCTACGTATTGCACTGCTTATTAGATATGTTAGCCAAATTACTCTGGGGACAAGGCGAGTTAATACTTATCGTGAATGCAATGATTGATTATCATTGGCACATATATTGATGACGATCTTTTTTTACGATGCATCTTTTAATCGAACATTGGTACCTAAGTAAGATAAATGAGGGGGGAAGGAATGGTAGTAGTGCGAACTACTAGTGTCATTGTTAGCGATATAGCCTGTCACATCGACTATAGCCCCCCCCCCGTGAAAACCACAGTGCAAAATTCCAGATGTATTTATCACGATAAGCTAATTGACCTGCTTTTTCATTCTCACCTTATATCCCTTACTGGTGTCCCGCCAATGTATACCGTCAGCGCGGGTAGGATTGCCATTCCATTGTTCCACATTAAAAAAATATAATACTTCATCTTAGCAATTTTTTAATGGTAATAAATAGTATGAGTACATAATTGGAAAAACTCTTGGTACTTACCCTTTTTTTTTTCAAAGTGGATCCCTTATAGAGACTCACTTTAAATTGAGCTGGACTTCTATCATCTAAATCCTCAAGGTGTTCCACCTCTTCACAATAATATTATATTTATGACATCAATTTTTTTTTTATTTATTTAAATTTTAATGCACAGTGAAATTCTATGTACATTTGGCTGACTTAATATATATATATATATATATATTTTTTTTTTTTTTTAAATATATATATATATATATATATATATATATATATATATATATATATATATATATATATATATATATATATATATATCTTAGATTATAACGGCCGGATGAGCCGTGAACTCTGTCTGATGCCCAGCCCAGAATACGAGCAAAGCTTCTCAAAAACATGTTTGAAAGTGCACGTACGCCAAGGATCAGACCCCCCCCCCCCTGTCCTGAAATATAACCTTACATACACCAACGCCAGGAACCGTTGTGACATGACCATTTTGTTTCAGTGTTGGTTCGCGCATTCCCTGAGGAAATACTCCACCCACGACTGGGCTATAGAACAGAAGTGGCTTTCTATATTATTGCCACTGCTTTTATTATACAATGGTGAGTCATTCGCATGGTTTACAAACAAACAGCACACGCCTAAGCATGTGATGTACATTTTATCGAATACTGGACCGATTACATTGTTGTAGACGATAATAGTTGTTGCTGCAGAAGTTAAAGGAAATATCTATTTAAAACGTAACCTTTTTATATTTCTGTCTAAATGCGCATACGCATGTACGTTGAGAATGTTAATTCTGGTTTGGGATTCTGTATCAACCTTTTTAAGGCGTGGACGTCACCACAGATCCACTATCTTAACTCCCGAAGTAACGTGGCTTCTATATTCAATTTGTTACTATATAATTCAATTCAATTCAATCATTTATTGCTATTTCATGTTGTAACAATTAAGGTCTTAAGTTATTAAAGGTAAAGAATCAACATGAACCCTGGAAGAGCACAGCAATCACATTAATATTTCATAAAGTACATAACTAAATTTATATAACTAAATAAATAATGCTATTATGTTTTTTTTATACCACTGATGTGGCAAACAACCATCCGGCCCACCTAATGGTAAGCGGTTACCGTAGCCTACAAACGCATGCAATACAAAGGGATAACGTTGCCGATTCTAAAGAAATCTCGACGATGTTTAGAGAGAAATGTTGACCAAAAGACGATGTAATGACAAAAATCGAAAAGGGAATGTTGCGTCGATTTGACCGTTTGGAGAGGATGGATGAAAGTTACGAAAAAGATTTTTCGAGTACGAATGAATGATATGTCAGTAAGGGTAGTCCTAGACGTATGTCAGCCAAATAAACGACGTGCTGTAGAAAGGCCAAATTATAAGTGCCCGTAACCGGAAAGCGTATTAAAAGATTGATGAATGTGATCCGTTTGATTTTAAGGATTTAGCGTTTCATTGTTTCTGCTTACACTAATGGGAGAGGGATATGATTGTGATTTTGATTTTGGCCTGCAGTTAATCTAATTTATCACCTAACTCTTCTCTCCTTTCTTACATTGCGGTCTTATACTGTGATTATACTTTCAGATCCGATATTTCCTTTACGCCTGGTCTCCGGGAGCTGTTTCGCACCTCTAATGGACACCATATTCCAGACTCTATTCCTAGCTTGCGTCATGCTGTCCTGGCTGGCACAATACCACGGTCTAAGACAGGTATTACTTAATTTTATCATGATATTTCTGATCGTGGACGTATTTGTGACTGCTTCATATGACTTGGGATGACAACGGCAAACAAGCTGGTGGCCCACCTGATATAAAGTGATGACCATTCCTGTAACACTTTTATCGTTCGTCATCTTGCCGTTCCTGAAGACTAAGATGTACAAAATATGTATATGTGTAATTATATACTAATGTCGTAAAAGAGTACAATACTTGAATTTCGCATTTTTAACTTCCTAAAATTCTAATTTCAAGAAGATAATATGGGATATGGCGTGAATTTACAGGGTACAAAGGAATAACACCTGAGTCCTCAGGAATGGCAACGCATCGGGGGTATCATGGGCGAAACAGTGTACTCTATTATGTCCATAGTACTGCTCATGTCTATAGGCGATGGTTACCGCTTTCCATCACGTGTGCCATCAACTTATTTGCCATTTTAAGTTGCATAAAAAATATTACACGCATATTATCCAATAGACGATATTAATACGGATGTATGTATATGTATGAATGTATGTATATATTGTTACATTAATATTAACATAGCATTAACATATTATAGTGAACATAGTTACACTATTATATTACGATTATTTATTCACATGTAAAAAATAGTGTAGATATAAAATAAATAAATAAATAAATTTTCTTTCAGAATGAAAGGGGTTTCTTATCTTTCTATTTATCGAAACTAATTGTAGTCGGTATGGTGTGGACGCCTGCGATGGTCATCACCATATGGCAGAAGTATTATGCTTTCTACGATCCAACGTTCAATTACAACATGAATCCGAATTACCCTGTAAGTTTCCTATATATTTTTTTTTCATTTATTTAGGAAAACTAACAGTGACATAACAAAGAATAATACATAATATTAATCAAAGAAAATGTTGAGTAAACTTGCCACCAACACCGTTTACCACAGTTTCGATTCAAATATAATACAAATAGCTTAAGCAAAGAAGAACAGTTAAAAATTACATGAATCTTTTAGAGATTCGGTTTTTAAAAGTACTTGGGCGTTCATTAATAATATCAACGTCATTAAATAAAGCGTTATATGAATTCACAAGTCTATACAAAGGTGACCGTTTTCCAGAGTTTGTTTTTCCGCGGCTAGTGGCAAAAAGACTATTTGGATAACGGCAATACACTCTAGTGGGTATTCTATAACACAACTTATTGATAATTGGACTACAGTCATATCTATTATGACACAAATATATATGACACGTACATATACTTGTAACTCACACTATCTGTCCATAATTTCAACATTCCTACTAAAATCCTGATGCATGACAGTTTACAGTATCGCGTTGCATACCACCCACTTACATGTACATCTTCTTTAGTCTATGGTATAGTTAATCTATGAATGAGCGAGAGGTTAACTACGTTAGATGCCGTGAAGCAGTTGGGTTTGCATGGCTGTGTTTCGATTTGAAGGGTGGGATATGGCGTGAATTTACTGGGTACAGAGGAATAACACCTGAGTCCTCAGGAATGGCAACGCATAGCGGTATCATGTCCGAAACAGTATACTCTGTTATATCCATGGTACTGCTCATGTCTTTAGGCGACGGTTACCACTTTCCATCAGGTGGGCCGTCATTCTAAGTTGTATAAAAAAAAATACATATACTTGTAACTCACACTATCTGTCCATAATTTCAACATTCCTACTAAAATCCTGGTGCATGACAGTTTACAGTATCGCGTTACATACCACCTACTTACATGTACATCTTCTTTAGTCTATGGTATAGTTAATCTATGAATGAGCGAGAGGTTAACTACGTTAGATGCCTCTCTTTCTTACATAGCTTTACATAATTAATATCGTCTCGACATTGCCAGTGAGAGATTATACACAATATACAATAGTTGTACGTCAGTTTTTTAATGGATGAAATGGTTACTCCGCCTGCGCTATCGGTATACACCTGCGGATGCCAATCTTTTAATGGGTTGATAATGAATTAGTCACTCCGCCTGCGATATCGGTATACGCTAGCAGAGTACTAGTGAGGGATGATAGGTGAGGATGAAAGCAGGGCCTCTAGACAAGTGGCAAGCGAATTCGTCGATGGAATCGACATCGGTAGCGAGTCCGAGAGTTGCAATGAGTCACCCGGCGTTGCTATTTCATTCTATCTCACGGACTCGCTAACGATGTCAATTCCATCGACGAATTCGCTTGCCACTTGTCTAGAGGCCCAGGTCAGTTAGCCAATCGTGATGAATTCTACTAGAATTAACCATTTTCAGGGGAAACCGCGTGGAGGTCGAACTGATAGGGTATACTGCTAGCAATATGGCAATTAGACCTCATTTCTAACAAATCCGCATTATCCCCTGATGCGTGAAGAGAATAAGATTGTTAGTAATGAAGATCTAACAGCACCATTGCTAGCAATATACCCTATCAGATCGACTTCCACGCGAAAACCATCTTAGTTAATTCTTTTTGAATTCGTCCTAATAGGCTTACTGACCTGCTTTCATTCTCACTTATCATCCCTCACTGATGCCCCACCAGTCCACACCGTTAGCACAAATGGGTTACCATTCCATTATCACCTATTGAAAAAAACATCCCTCACTGGTGCCCCACCAGCATATATCGACAGCGCAGGAGGGGTTACCATTCCATTATCACCCATACCCCTCATACGTTGCCATTTATAAGGACTAATACAGCAAAATAGATAGTTCGTTGGTTTCTATCAAACGAGAATCAGTTTATTTCGAGTAACGATTTATTCTTAAAACTGGACGTAAACGTGTTTGAAATAACTTTTAATCTTCAATGTATGATTATTTATTGTCATTACAAAATTTTGGAATTTAGCACTCTGGGCAGAAATGATAGGTATTTGCTGCCGTCCGCAATTTTGCCGTCCTTCATTTATGCCAATATAGCCATTTGACCATCTCATACCTAATACTTATTGAAGAAATTCAATAAGTTTGATATTTTAATAAAATTTTTATATCGTTTCAGGTCGTCAAGATTATGTTCTTTAGTGCGATTACACTTTACTTCTTATACTTATTGATCCTTATTATAAAAGCGTACAGTGACTTGAGGAATATGCCATTTTTTGGTAAGTTTTATTTTGCTATCTAAATTGCATTATATTTCTGAAAATGGAATTATAAACGATCAACATTCAATAATATTACGTACCTAGATATAAAAACCGAGAGCTATCAACATACATGACAAAAGGGGCCAGTATAACATACGATGGGCTGAGAAAGTAGTTACAGAGTTGAAAATTCTAATTGTATACCTAGTATTTATTTATTCAAACATTATTGGCCAATAAAATGTGGTACAAAAGGCGGACTTAATGCTACAAGCATTCTCTAACAGCCAACCTTTACGATGTACACAGACATTAGATGGCGGTCTAAATAATAATTTATATTTTACAATAACATACCAACAACTCTACAATGCTTATAATTATGATGATTAATTGAAGGAAAACAAAACATAAAAAAAAAAACAAAAAATCTCTTACTCCATATATTTATGATTTAAATTTGCAATATTACATGAAAATAGTTCAGTTATGAGAAAATGATACAGTCTTAATAGCCAGTCTTAAATATAACACATTTTATACTAAGAAATAGGTAATACTGCGTCATAAAACTAAGAATAACATAAGACAGTAAAAAATATTTATATTAATATCGAGTTAAATAATGAAAAACTTTTTAATAGTCGAGTACAGGGGCCAGACAGTCGGCGAATGCTCTGCAATTCACATTCTACAAACGTTAAGGCTTACTCGTAACTCGTTCCTAATTTAAATTCTTTATTTTAATAGCTATATAAAACAAACTACTAGAAATAATTACAGAACAATATGTTGTTTACTACATGTAAGGAAGGTTTATTTTACTTCGCCAACGCTAAAGCATTAACATTTGTAAAAACAAACTCTTACAACATTCACCATCTGCCTGATCCTGAGAAAATTTCATTAAAATTATAACATTTATTAATTTCATCCAATATGGCGCTCGACGCGTATGTCATCCTAAAATATATGTTAATTATGTACACCTTTATGAAATATCCTGTTTTTGTCCTAGATATAATGATCACAGTGCAATATTGGTGAGATCACCCGACTCCAAGCAATTATATTTTAACGATGATAAAATTCCTTATAATTACATATTTTATCTTACAATATTACTGTAGAACACAAGGAGAAAGAGAGATATATTTCATTTTACAGATTGGGACATTTATATCCAATGTAATTCTGTTCCTAGATATAAGACTTCGCTGCTTATCGATCGTGGTTGGCACTGTTACGTTCATAACGATGCTGTTGGCGATACAAGGGTGGGGTCCGGCTGCGTTGCAAGATCACTGGGCCGCGCAACCAAAGGTCCACTACGATACGTCCGCTCCGTTCATGGCTCTATATGGCCTGTTCAACTTTAAGATGTATATACTGGCCTATCTATTCTCGCCTGGCGGTGGTTCTATACACGGTAAGATTGTACTATAGCTTAGACGTATTTTTGTGTATTACCCATTATTTTTTTCAGATATTGTTAAATTCGAAGGCATTCTTAAAACAGAATTAACTTGTCGACAATTTCTTTCATTGTTATTAAAGAAAAAAATATTCCTTAACAAAACACAAACCAAAATACAGCGGCAATATAGTCGTATTATCTATTGGAGTTTTGGATCGTATCAAGTAAAGAACACGAATTTATCCGCGCGGAACGTACCAAAAAAGCTGAACGTGGCGAATTGTCCAATGCCCATGTATCTGCGCCAGAAAAATTGACAGCACCAAAGGCTCAGGAACAAAAAAAAGAAAGATTCGCTCGCATCGTAAACAGCTGAGAGTTCTATTTTAGATTACATCGTTGTTCATTAACAAAAAAGAACCTTCCCATTTTCTCAGCAACTCGCCGAATTCGAGACAGTTCAGTGAGAGATTGTTCGATTTATACCTTACCTTCTTTAGGTAAATCTAAAATTCGCCTCGTTCGGTTCTTTCAGCGCTCATCTCATATGAAAGCCCCATCCTGATCTCAGCATCTTACGTTGATATAGCATTGACCTAATTGTTATTTTTTTTTCCTATTTATGTCCGACGTAAAAAGAAGTTATTTGATCATTTTTCAAGACATTTCATAACCATGGCATAATAGCTTCTGTAAAATTTTAAATCACAACTACTTACAGAAATATAATAGACTTACTGTCCTCTCGAAAGAGTTGATGTTTTTCTTAGAAATCTACATCACAATTTTCTTTAAATTATATGCGTAATATAAATTTAAGAAACTTAATCTGGTGCAACATTCAAAAACTTTTTTTTTATTTCAGAAACGGCCATAACCAAAGACAACCCCGCATTTTCCATGATCAACGACTCGGATGAAGAAGTTATTTATGGTTCCGATGAGGAAAGCCGCCGCCCACTCAACTCCCACCACAGAATGAACAATGAAGACATATGATTCACTAGGCAAAGTTATGTTTTCGGTCATTGTATGTTTTTTTCTTATTAAGAAATTATAAAAGTATTTCAAGTTATTTCGTTTTAATTAAAATAATTATCAAAAAAATGACATCGTCTCTATTAGTAAACCATTGATTGAGTCTTATTACTACGTGTTTTTAAATGCGCTTGCTACTACCTATAAACTAAGTGTGCTTAGTATTAAAATTGAAGACAATGTGGTGAATTTTCTCAAACTATCGTTTGCAAGAATATCACAAATTCTTTAGAAATATATCTACCTAGATGACATTAAAACATTGCACTAAATAAAAATATAATATACTTAAAATATTAGAAAGAATTTACTTACCCGGAATAAAAAAAAATTCAAAGCAATAATTGATGGAAAGCGTAATAAAAAAATTTATGCAAAATTTTAGATAATAATTTAACGCCAAATAATGCTACTTTCAGCAGATATGTCGAATAGTCAAATTACGCGGGTTTAGTTTGTTTAATTTTATTATACTCCAGATACCGAATCGATAGACTGCCATAAATAAGTAGAATTTTAATCACTGGTCTATTGATAACATGTTAAAAAAGGTGCAAATATTACTAATCCATTATTTGAAACCTGTAACTGTTCGAGATATTTCTATATATTATAAATAAGAATATATTAATTGTTCATACTTTAGCTTAACGAAGTGTGGCAACGTCCCAATTATCTGTTAATTTCCAATATTTCTGAATGATTACTTAAATAGTGCTTAGCTAGCCAACTAAAACGATAATCACATAATAAAATTATTATTAAACTGTCACTAAAAACTTGGATTTTAAAGGCAAAAATCATTTGCAAAATTCCGAAACAACATATGTAGTAAATGCAAAGTATTTAGTAGTAGATTTAGTAAATCCACTATGTATATACCATAATACAACATAATTAAATAAATAAATAATTAGTCGATTTTCATAAAACGTATTTTACGATTAACATTTTGGTTTGCTAACAAAGCACTTTTTTTAATAATCAATCAGAAACATTGAAAACTGTTCAATTCTTTTATAAATTTAACGTATAATTGCGACGTTGCCACGCCGCCGTTCCTGAGAAAGTTAGTTGAAATACAATAGTAAGTTATACGTCTATAGTCGAAATTATAATTTTCAACTAGTTATCCCAAGATTTTTTAGCTGATGTAAGATTAGCTAATACTTAGATATTAAATATTGCGCCAAGAACTGGTCGAGAATTTGGCGCCATTTTGTCACAGAAATTGCACGGCGTGCGCAACTATAAAATGGCTGAACGAGGTAACAAGACAGCGCCTTTTTGTCTTGTAAACGCTATAATACATAACAACGTATGTAACAGGAAAAAAGGAAAATATACCTAACAATAATATAATTTATAGGTTAAACCATACTTTTTCTATGGTCATAATTTAGAGGAATCACCAAAAAATAACGTCTAGGTTATTCGCTTCTGGTTCGTCTCTAAGTCATGTTTTAGCTTTAGAAGAAGAGAGTGCACTGCACTCGTAGAAAATATGTACACAAAATAATGTACCACTGATTATGGCCTGCACAAACATGGGACATTTTGACCGTAGACGTAGACTAAAATGAATGAAAATTTAATTTTCTTTCATTTTCGTTATTTTTACTCTTTAGCTGTATGTAATTTTAGGGACCATAATAAAACTCCTAAAATTGCATACTACACCTTGCACTTGTGCAAAAATACAGCTCGCACAAGGGGAAACTTTGTCCGCTGATAAAAGATCTACCGTCAAGCACGTATTGGACACGTGCCCTCAGTCACAAATCTAGGGCGAACAGTAAACATACAGAAATTGATAAAATGCAACTCACAAATGAAAGAAACGTGAAAATCTCAAACTAAAAGCAAAAATCGACTAACATAGCAAAGTATCAGCCTGAAATAAAAGATACACGATGAACATTAATTTTTTTTATTCGTGAAGGATAATAAATAATTCGTAACTCACTAAGGTTATGCCGATACATTAAATCAATCTAAGGAAATAGTCTGTAAATTGTTGAGCGTGTGCGCTATGAGAATAACAGGATGCGGGTGGGGGCGCGGCGCGGGGTGCGGCTGCAGCACGGCGGCCGGCAACGGGCGCTGGCGCGCGCCGCACGGCGCCGCGGGCTGCGCCGTGGCCAGCGGCGTGGCCGCCGTGCGCCGCAGCACCGCGCCGCCGCGCATCACGCACGCCACGCCCGCCAGCCCCGCCACGCGCGCCACGCTCGTCACGCCCGTCACGGTCGTCACGCTCGCCACGCCCGCCACCCCCGCCACGCTTGGCGCGACGGCACGCGGGTCACAATTCTCGTTCACTACAGAACTCTCGTCATCCGAGCACAGATCTATTACTTCGTAGTCGCCATCAGAACGTTTCAGCGGATCCATCGATTTCATGTCAATGTCTGTGGACTGGTCACATTCGAGCCGGTCTACAAATATTATATCCTTGTCCTGGGCATACCGGGCCTCAGCCTCACGCTTTAAGTTTTCTATGTACTCATTAATTTCCTTTTTAGACATCCTCTCTATTCTGACAGTGACTGGTCTGCATTTGAGCAGGAGCAGTTGAGCTTTTAAGTCCAGTATTTTTTTATTTCTTTGATTTGGAAAAATATACTTACGTTGCCAGTAATCTATCGGTCGCCTGTACCGGATCGGATAGTGGTGACTTTTACCTTTGCTACCTACATTTTTACTAATTGTTGTTGAAGTACAGCAATACCGTTCTATTCTATCACGAGAATAGGTCAAGTCTCTCTGAGAGTTGGATTTTACATTACGCATGTATGCTAATGATGAAAAGGGATATGGTGGCCCTCTGTCAATGTGCGATGTGCTCCTGCCATTCCTTGGTCTTGAATCATTTACATTTGCCTTAATATGTACATCTTCAACACTTTGACCGACCGGCTGCAACTTAAGAGCAGACAGAAACTCTGACATACCACCATTACATGAACTCGAAGATATAACTTCATTGTTACACAGCCTTTCATGTGCTCTTAATAAATCTAAATTATCAAAATGACTGTCACAGTTGTCACATAAATATATGTCTGTAGATTGAAGCTGAGGTTTGTCTAGTTCTATTGGTGCATGTTTATCATAGAATATATTCTCATTTCTAAATGTTACTAAAAGTCGACCACTTGGCCTATAATAGAGAGACGTGGTGTGATCACGGTTGTCGACATACCTGAGCCTCTTGCGCGGATATCTTGATAGCTGAGCAGAGAACACCAGCAGGAACGCGCTCTTGTGGTAATCATAGCATCTTTTCACTAAATTCTTCAGTCGCGCCTCCCAGTCTCTTGGCACCTCATATGGTCTGACGAAGGGATACGCGAATTTGACGTCTTTAGGCCACCAAGGCGGCTGACGAATGTCTTTGGCAGTGTCGTGGCCCCAGGAACAAGTGACCATGAATGTTATAAATTTCTCAAGCTCTTTAGCGGTGATCTTGGTCAGGGCTGTTGGATTGCCGTTGGCGAAAAGAAGCGGTAAATTCGCGATCATTGTTCCCGCTGTCACTTATAGTCATCGAAGTCGGAAAGCAGTCAGCGCTTGCGATGTCGCCCCGCGTATAGCTAGCATAATGGTTAATGTAGTAGAGTCCATTGTAACAGCCGTAAACGACAACATTTACTACGCATACGAGTGGGCACTTTATGTACAAACTGATCAGATGGATTACGAATTAGTGATTAGCAATAAAAAATCACAAAATCTCACAAAGCAAGAGCGTTCGTTGACTAAAAAGAGAAAGATCCATCCATAGATCTAATTGCACAGAGTACAAATTACGTAGCTCTCGACGTTCTTGACTTTCGTAGATCTTTTGTACCTTGTCAATATAGAGGTCTACAGATAGCAAAACAATTCATTTAATATGTACTGTAGGGGCGCTGTAGTCGCGCATATGTTAAATCTAAAAGATTAGGTAATTCTAAATTAGTAATTTATTTTTAAAATCTACCTCCTGCAATTTTCTTAATTTCTAATTTTACAATTATTAACTTATTAAAACTGTACTTGCTTAGATGGTATTCCAAGAAAAAATAATTGCGATGTTAACAAATAAAAACATTACGTCACGTTACGTTTCTTTTCAAGTAATATACATGTTTTGTATTTGTAATTTTAATTATAGAGAAAATATACAACTCATAAATTAATCGCATAAAAATTAATTAAATAAATATTTTTATGAAATAAGCTCTAGTTTTAATACTAAAATGATTTTAAAATAGTTTATTATTTATATTCCAAATATTTTATAATAAGCGGAGTTTTAACAATATTATCACCATCATTATGTTAATCTAAAAGACATTACAATTATTACTTGATGAAATATATTTTTTTGCATTATTAACAACATTCTCTATAATTAGTTTTGTATTCATAATTTTATAGTCATTATAAAATTCTATATTTTGTATAATGTGCATTGAATCTTAAGACTACCTAAATACAAAATAAATAAATAATTTATTTAGACCAAAGATACAATATATAATGTCTGTAATAGGAACCTACTTGTTTATGATATTTGCAAAGGCCGATTGTTGCCCATTATGCCAGGTACCTTTCATTTCGTGGTATGATTGCCTATTTAAAAATTGCATTCTTGTCGGTGGAGCTCTTGCCACTCACTACGATTTTCAGCGAATCTCTACAATACTTCGCAGTGCTAGAATATCTTCACGTGTTTCTTTATTCTGTTTGAAATCATATAGATCTGTACTTATAAAAATTTCAACGAAAGATTTTATCTTTAAAGTATCTTTAAAGTATGTGATATTAAAATTAAAGTTCTTCCCATCTTAGTGCATTTGCTTTTCTATTTGGAAGTGTAACCGTTTTACTAACTAAAAAGTCCATTACAATGTTTCACAGATTAATTCGTATATTCTGTCTAGTATATAATTATTGATGACATACTTCATCAATTCTATATAAATTCCATCATTTCCAACTGCTTTTTCATTTTGGATACTACTTACAACCTTATCTAACCAGGTTCCTAAGAACAGCTAAGAACACCGAAATCTTTGCAATAAGAACGAGGAATTACAGAGAAGGAATGATAAAATTATCAATTCATAGGAAATTGTTATACAGCCGTATAACCTACCAAATTCAGATACAACCTGCTTGCATACTTTATTGAACATATAATTTAGTAATGTAAAATTTGTCATTGATAAATAATTGATATATCAAACATTTTCTATACACTAGCCTGCTATGAATTGAGAAAAATAGCAACTGATGATGTATCTGTCGTCCTCTTTTTACTAACTATATTTGCATAAAAATAAAGGAGGCAACCATATGATTTACAGTTTTTTTTTTATCATTCCTTCTATGTAATTCCTTGTTCTTAGTTTTTGCACCTATTAATAACAATCAATTAGTCTATAATCTGTATGACAAATTTGTAAGTCGTACTAAATGCCAAATTTGACAATGACATTTACATTTGATTAGTTTTTGACTGACTTTGTGTTGTGTTTGTCTTCATGTGTTGTGATCATCTGTTTTAATTTTGTGATTTGTGATAAGGTTTATCTTCTGTTTATTTTGTATTATCGAACAATACAGAAAAACTAAAATTTGTCTGTAATCTAATAAAGTCAAAGTAATTAATAGTTTTATCACAAATCGTTTAATTGAAAGCATTACTATAATGCATATCTTCTAATATGGTACGTACGTCGGTATTAAATATTGATTAGATTATATGTTTATTTCAAATGTTTTAACGTTTCTTTAATAACAGGAAAACAATAATATCCTTCTTTGCCTGCGCTCACCAACAAAAGACCGAATTGAAATTACAGAATATGAGTAAGTATCATTGTTTTAAATTAGTTATAATAAATTGGTACTCTTTAATTGTTCTAATAATAAAAATAATTTGTAATAGAACATGTATTTATTTTAATAAAATTCTGAAAAATCCATTAGTTGGTGGGTAGCTATAAATAGTTGTAGCTACCCACTATACCATTACTAATTCTATAAATGATATAATGGTTAAAATATAAACCATTTATATCTTTTGTGCAGTTGATATATCATTGTCAGCAGTAATATATAAAAATAGTATAAGTTTTTTTTTTATTTTTCACAATTTGTATTGTCAAATAGTTATAATTTTTTGAAAATTAAAAGTTTCTACAAGAAATTTTCAAAAAAATATTTCTATCTGTCTTTTTACATTTTTATAATCAATTGAAGAACTGCATAAATGCCATAAAAATTCAACTAAACCAGGTATTGGAAAAATTATTGTAAAATATCAGGTAGAAAGTATTTTAAAAAATCTTGTCAATATAGTTTGTAATAATATCAACATGTGTTCAGTGTTCCACTGAGTGCTAACAATATTAACATATATTTCAGTAAGTGTTTTTATATATTTTTTATGAAACAGTTTAAAACTACCAGCATGGAGTTTGGAATCCTTAAAATCAGCTGCAATTGAACTGAGGTTAGGCAGACCCCGCAGCCTGGCATGGGCTATTATGCTCAATGCTCTGCCCCCACCGTCAGGAGATATCATATCTAGGTATATTTTTTACAATATGAATCTTATATACTTAATTCCAATCACTTATTTTAATATAATTTTGCTATCTCTTATTGCAGTTTAGAAACTCATAGAAATTTTTACAATGATCTAAAATGTAAATTGTCTATGGATCCTAGAGCAGTGATTGGTGATGATCCACTGTCACAAAATGATGAGGTAAATATATATATTTTGTATTGTTCCTAAAACCAAATTGTCTATTATTTCTATTATTCTGTTTGTAAAATTTGAATTAAATAAAGAAATAAAATTTGAAAGAATTTAATGTTTTCATATGACTTTTGTTGATTTATTTATTTTGTTTTTGTTAACTTAAATATAACTATTGTAAATAGCAGGATACAGCAATAAAACATATATGTATTTGAGATATAAAATAATAAGTTTAGTGACAAAATACAAGACATGTCTTATAAAAATCAGACATAGAACAAACTTAAAAATAATACATTGTTCTAAAAAACCTCAGTGTCGACAACCAGTATTAAAACTTCAACAATAACACATCAACTTGAAACCAGTTTTGGACATAGAAAGATTTCAGTTATTAATTGAAAATATTAGATTTTATGGCCCCATATTTAAAAGGTACAAAGGAACCCTTATGGTGCAACTTTGTCCATCCGTCTTTTACAGCTTTATATATCAGCAACTGCTAATGCTATGTATATTGCTAATAATTTAAAATAGTTTTACATAATATTGGCTTTTGCATATAGAAATAAAAATAATTTAAAAAATATCTATATGTTCTTTGGTAGGAGGTCCAAGAAGGGTACTCAAATTTTCAAACCTAATAGTTCAAGTGAGGTATCACATGAAAGGTATTTGTACATTTTAAAACTGATTTTTATTTATTTCTATAATGTGTAGTTTTTCATTTATGATCGAAAATGTAAGAAAAAAATCACTCCCACTCCCCATCTGTATTTTCGAAGTTTGTGAAACGACAAATCTAAAATAATTTCAATTTTTTTAAATGTATATATGAATATAACAGGAAAAATAAAACAATGTTTCTAACTAGCACTGTCTTTGAAAAATGATCTAAAAACTCTAAAACAAACATAGTTATGCGGTTCGGTTTTTAATCAAAATTATGACCCAAAATAAGAAATTACGAATTTCAGTATTAATAATAATAAATATTAGGTATCTATACCGTATAAGAATTGCAATAAAGAATCACACCTTTTTTATATTCTTTTTAAAGTTAATTGTAATGTTATTTTGATAAATTTGTTACTTATTTTTTATGCATTAAATAATAAATAGGTAAGTAAATTGCATATAATTTCATTAAAATATGCAATCTATGTATACCTTTCTATACATTTAATAAATCTTTTTAATAATTAACCATATTTTTTTGCAGAGCGCATGGAAACAACACTTCTGTGATATTGAGCTCAAAGCACTTATATTGCAAGATGTTGTACGAACATTCCCCGACGAGGTCTACTTTCGTGAAAAGGAAGTCCAAGATTTAATGGTTAGTTATTATATTTATTATCAACAACTAATTTAAAATCATTATTCATCACCCGATCAAGTAACTGTCTACAGGCAAAAATATTTGCCACCCTTTTTATCGTTTAGCTACCCTCAAAATCATCATCCCTCAGTTTTGCCGCTTTGGGCAATTGTTAGTCGCCTGTTTGTTCACTCCACCTGGATCTGGTACTGATCCTCATCTCACCTTCTAACTACATTTATTATTAATTTTTTATTTTCAGGTGGACGTGTTATTCTTTTGGGCGCGTTCCCATTCTCATGTGGGCTACCGACAAGGAATGCATGAAATACTCGCCCCTCTTCTGTTCGAACTGCATTTAGATAGAAAATTTGCACCCGTTAATTTAAGGTTATTTTATATTTTTGTATATGATACATACCTACTTATTTATACATATATCAGAATACTTTTTCTAATATTGCGTATTTTTTTTTGCAGTGAAACATTAAAATATTATTTAGACGTAAATTATTTGGAACATCATAGCTAGTAAGTATATTTTATAAAGTTCAGTATTGATACGGGCAAGCGTTAGGTTGTTTGGAAGAAATCTCTTTCGGAGATAAGCTCACTAGATACCAAGATAGAAGTCTAAATATATTTTTTGTATAAATTTTCATACATTCTATTAACTTTGTAAATTTCATTTTGTAATGCAACAATACTAAAGAGATATTAAAGTATACAAGAGATCACCAATAATGAAAAACACTTTTGAAATGTAATCTATAAAACTATTTTTTATTAGCTTGCGGCCAAGTTGTATAACACTTGTTTAGTATTATAATTTTATTCTAATATTATTATTTTAATTACGCCAAACAAATACTGAAAAAAAATAATATACAGACAGACCACGTTCTTCGAACTTCAATGGGAAAAGTCAAAAAGAGATAGACACAGGGCCGGATCCAGGGGCACTGACCAGGCAAATGCGTAGAGCGACAAACATTAATATAGCGATCTTTATAAACGGCCCCAAATATTTTTGCCCTAGACGACAAAGTAGCTAGATCGAGCTCTGAATTAAACTGAATTACATGAACGTAATGAAATTTTTATTATTACACGCGGGCAAAACCGCGACTTACAACTAGTAATTAATAACTAGATTTTATTTCCACAGCATGCTCTTTAATGCTGTTATGAAGGGTATGGAGAAGTTTTATACCACAGGAGACGTCGTGCCCTCTGCTTCTGGACGGCTACCTACCTGCAAAGTAGTTCACGTATGTAAGAAACCTGTAATATTAGCTTAACCTATATTTTTTTAATTCTAAACTTGTCAATTATTTGAGGATATTTTTGCGCATTCAATAGTTCTAATGCAATTGCATACATTTTGGTTTCGTAATCGTAACGATACAATCATGCCGAACCTTATTAAATTATAAAAATAAAATTAATTTTAAAACCACCTATTGTGGCTACTATAGTCGGTATCCACTGTACATCTATGATAAATTTTATTATAATATATATTTTTTAATATTATCTTCATTTGCTATGCAAATTCAAAACTCGGGTTGATACAAAAGCTGATAATAATTCTCTCTGATCAAACTTTACCATTTATAACATTCGAACCCAGTCTTCTTATTTTCATTTAAAAGTTTCCTCTTGTCGGTGCAACTATTCATACATTTTCTTCCAACCAGCTCTATTCCAGGCCATATCTTTGATTTTTCTATATGACATGTATAAAAGGAGGTATACTTAGTGTTTGAATAAAAAATGACTGTTTAAAATTTGTGAGGATATCTATTTCAATAAAGATGTTTTTTATTCTGTTGAATATTATAATGTGTGTTGTGGATCAAATCTGCCATCTTGAAGTGTCTGCCACATTAGATTTAAAACGGTACTGTAACCGGATCAATATCTAAAGCCTCTTTAATTCATTACTTTTATGTATAATTATAGAAATATACTTTCAAACCTAAAGATATTATTATTTACAGTTAAAAGTTATTTATCGTATAGTGCACGAGTCATTTCTTTGCAGTTTTAATGTTTTGATTTGATACGTTTGTTTAAAGCAGTCTGGATTACAAGAACTAATTAGAAATCTCGATTTTAAATAATTACCCTGTACAATAGAAATAAACATTTTATTTAGTTCCTTTTTTCTTTCTACTAAAGTGACGAATTGTGATTTACGCACTGTTAGAACTTCAGTGGCGTAATACAAATTACAGCGTTATCCATTGTTACAGAATCCCAATGAAGTAGTCCGATATTTAGAGAAGGTAAAGGATGAATACTTAGTGTCCTGTGATTCCCAATTAGCAACGCGACTCGTTGAACACAATATATCTCTGGAGCTTTTTGGAATGTGAGTTGCATACATAAGACATTAAATTGAGAGCAATTTCTTGTCTTCCACATATTTAAATAGTAAAGAAATAACAATTAGGTACGATTGAATTTATTGTTCGTATTCTTTTTTTCTTGCATTATCATAAGTTAGAATGGAAGAGAAAAACATTACGCCGACCCCGATTATTAATTGGGGTAAGGCTTGGAATATGACAATGATGATTAAAATCATAAATTATTTTGACATTAATTTAGCGTTGACGTTGCAATTTCCATGTAAGGAAACTTCTTTAGTTAAACTAAAAGGGTATCCTTTAATTGTACATATTTTTGAAATTAAATTTGAAATTAAATATATTGCTATAAGGAGCATTATATATATATATATGGTTATTTGGAGAGGATGGATGAAAGAAGAATTACGAAATAGATTTATCGAGCAAGAATGAATGGAGATGTCGGTAGGGGCCGGCCTAGACGGACGTATGTTGACCAAATAGGCGACGTGCTGAAGAAGGGCCAAATTAAAAGTACCCGTAACCGGCGAGCGTGTATGAAAAGATTGATGAATGTGTGTGGGTGTGCGAAAGAGGTTTGTTTAAATCGAAGCATTTGGCGTTCCATTGTTTCTGCCTACCCTAATGGGAGACAGGCGTGATAGATATGTATGTATGTATGAGCATAATATAAAAACAAACGCGCGGTACAGAATCAATGTTATTTTTTACAATTCAATCCATGTTTCTTGAAGAAATTTCATTAATTTTGTATACGAGTTTGATTCAATTTTAGGTCTGCAACTCTTCAAATTGATACTCCAAGCTGTGGACTGATGATCACTGAATAATTACAGCATTACAGTAGTATAAAAATATGTTTATTTCAGTCGATGGTTGCGCTTACTATTCGGCCGTGAGTTCCCGCGTGCAGAGATACCGCACCTTTGGGGGTTCCTGTTCGCTGATGGTCCGATGCTGCCTCATTTACATTATTTTGTCGTCGCTATGCTTGTGTCACTCCGAGACACATGTGAGTCCTCATTATATTTTCGATAACTTAATAATATGTATGGGTTTTGACGCAAAACTCGAAAAGGAAATGAAAGTAATTGTTTTCAAAAGGGAACATCCCAAAAACATTTCGAAGATTATGTCGGTGAAGAGTTATCAGTAATCTAACTAGTTACATTACTAGTGAATTTGATGCAGTTTTTTTTTTATATACTACTGATGCAAACGAACATACGGTCCACCTGACAGTAAGCGGTTACTGTAGCCTATTAACGCCTGCAATACCAGGGGAATTATGCATCCAACCCTGAAAAATCTATTTTTTGATCCCCAGCCAGAGACCCTGGCTAGCGTTCTCTCGATTTCAGATACAAGATGTTTACAATTGCCCTCCAAGATAGGCCTCGTTTACGAGTAACCAAATAAGTAATGTTAACGTCACTGACTGTCGCAGTGCTGTCCGTGGAAGCGGGGTTCGCGCTGTCGGTGCTGATGCGGCCGAGCCCGCTGCCGGCCGCGCACGTGATGGCGCTGGCGCTGAGCCTGCGGCGGCCGCGCCACTACCTGCGGCCGCTGCCGATGCGGCCGCTGGCGCCGTCCCCGGACCCCGTGCCCGCGTCGCATCGCCGGCGACGCTCCTCCTACAGGTACACCTGCTACCACTATCTAATCACAAGTGTAATATTGGTGAGTATACAAACAAGCGAGGCTTGTGTATCGAAGTAGTTGCTGTTCGTCATTTTTAAGCCCTAATTGAAAAAAAATTCATATAGTAATAATATATATGGGTGTATGAGACTATTCAGTTTATCATTCTGAACAGAAAACCAGTGGGAATTTTTTCATGTTTTTTTTTTTCATTTCAAATCATGTAATATTATGTCATAATATATATATATATATATATATATATATATATATATATATATATATATATATATATATATATATATATATATATATATTAGTGAAATACTATAGAATACGAAAAAAAAAAAACCAATGTAATATTCGTATTAAAATCCTAACGCATCGCGCGGCATCATCTGTGTAAGGTCAACGCTTACAAGCGTACAAAACTACCGACGAAGAAGCGCCACTGGTCGGGCTGTGTAAATATCGCGCGTCTTGTGGTTCGTAAAATTTCAAATATATTATGCAGCGTTAAAACTAAAAATCATTAATTATATGTCTGTGGTACATTTCAGATAGGAAAATAATCTGTCGTCTGATTCAGACTATTCATCTGAGTGAAATATTTTCGGTTTGGCCATCCTGTCCATTCTACCCTGTATTTAAAAACTCTAATTTATATTATATGCTTTTTTAGTACAATCTGTAGTATCTGAGACAACCCTACTTGCGAGGATTATATTAATCGACACGATACCGTTTCTGTTCAGTTTATTTACTCTAAGCTGAAAGATAGGTGATCGATTTAAAGAGTCGGTTCCCAGCGACAGCGACACCTCCCCGTGGTGCGTGGTGCCGGCGGCGGCGGAGCAGCGCAGCGGCGCGCTGCCGGTGGCGGAGGCGGCGGAGGCGGCGGAGGCGGCGGGCGCGGTGGCGGAGGGCGTGGCCGAGGGCGCCGACGTGGCGCGCGAGCTGGCCGCGCTGGCGCTGCTGCGCGCGCGCCTGCCGCCCGCCGCCGCCGCGCTGCACGCCGCGCTGCCGCGCGTGCCGCCGCGTGCCGCCGCGCCGCTGCACCAGATCCTGCAGGTAGCCACTAACGCCCACTTCGCCGCCTCCCCCGCTAAACACCTCTACATTATTAAAATAATTTACCCGCCTCGGTGAGTGCTCTCCTCTTCACCGTTTCACTGTTCCCTCCGGCAGCTGGCAGCTCTTCTCCAGTGCCGCAACCACGCCCTCGTGGACGTGGAGACGGCGCTGGAAGCCGCGGAGGGCGACGCTTCCGAAAAGGTCGGCCGGCAAGAAATCGTTCCGATCGCGGTGGTCCCGAAGCGCAGCCCCATGAAGGCGCCCACCGACACTAAACAACCGAGCGGAGCGAAGGAGGTGCAACTTAAAGTGTTCCACCAAACCGAGTGCAAGACTACTAGTGATTTCCCGTTCCTAGATCCGCTCAGAACGAGGACAGATTGATTAAGACGCAAATTGTTACTCTATAGCTACTATCATTAAAAGCTACTTTAGTTTTTTTTTAATATGAACTGTTTATGTGATGTTGCTGTAGTTATTGTATTATAAATAACATTATAGTATATTTGAAATGGACAAATGAATTGTATTGCTCACAAATAATATAAGAAATTTAACTTAAGAAGTGAAAATTAAATTTAGAATTAAAATTTCAACCGAAAAGGTTTAAAACTTATTGCAAACTTATCATTATCATTAAATTCCATGTTTATATTCCAATGATGAAGCAAATGTAGCTCAACTCTATTTCTGTTAAGTAGTACATTAATTAATTGAAAACTTTCAAAAAGCATAATAAGAATATTAAAACAATGAAAATTTTCCATTTAAAAAGTAACAGAAACTATGCAGCGCTTTGAAAACGGCCATCTCTTACGATAGCTAGCACCAATTTAATATAATAATTCAAAATTTATTTTTATATTTGTACCATATATTTGAAAAACTTTTTCCGATCCATTAATACCATTACAGGCTAAAGAATAATGACATGCGATAGTTTTCAAAACTATTTAGCTTCTATTTATTATATATTAGCTGACCCAGCAGACCTTGTTTTGCTACTACTATTTCCCAAGTCAATTTTTTCTTACTAAAGTGAAGAGCATCATTAATCACTAATCAAACAAAACACATTTTTTTTTATGATTTTTGACACAAGCGTCGTACACGAACTTCGTAATACGGTATATTTCTATCTTAGATTTCTATATTAAGATGTGCTCTATTTAAATTCAAAAGAAGGCAGTGATTGGTTGAAGCTATATAGGTACTTACGATGTAGAAAAATCTTCAATTGTTTATAAGAAACTTTCCCGCGGAGTGATAGACAAAAAAATGAAGTAACTACTAATCCTTCACGAACTTGTTACCTCACTGACAGCCAGAGCCCGATCTAGGGGTATTCGCCCGGCAATGATTCGAAACGACAAAATGTGTAAAATCGTTTTACCGACTTTTACCATTACTGCATTAGAATAGTCTATATTATCTGGCATGTTCATCCGTTAAAAAAGTTTAGATATTTTTGCACGAAATGGTATTATAGCTAAATCGGGCTATAATAATTAGGTACACTTCTAGCAATATTTTACATAATATAATATTTTGTGTATACTTGGAATTATATTTTTGTATGTATTAAATTCACTGTTATATTTATAAATTTTGCATTACTTTGTAAAAGTGGGAAATTAATACTATTATACTACTAACTTTGTTTACATTACCTTGCCATAAAAAGTATTTAATTTTTTAATAATATTAGTTAAATACTTTTTGTACTAAATAATTAATTTTTTTTTTGTATACTTATTCATGTGATTTTCATTTGTAAGACCAAAGAACACAAAATAGAATTTAAAAATAAACCTTCAGAATTTATAAATATTAAAATAAAAATGCTTTCGATTATCTTTACTTGTTTCATTTTTACAAAAATATTATGACATTAACAACAGGATTGATAATACATAAGCGAGTTCTAGATTATTGATTATTCTAACTATACTAATATTATAAAGAGGAAATATTTGATTATTACATTACAAACAATGAATAAACTAAAAACTACTCAATGGATTTAAAAAAAATTTTCAACTATAAAGTACTACAACATAGACTATATACATTTAGTTCTTCTTCTTCTTGTTTCAATTTAAATGGTTGCCACCAATTTTGATTAGTGATTCTGCCAACGTCATGGTTAGAAAGGCACGGTGAGATATTCTTGTTTCTATAGTTCTTGAATCTGGCCGGTATTGATATACATTTATAAAAAATCCTGGAAAAAAAAAACAACTGTCAATAAGTAATGTCAGTGTCATATGGAATTGTCCATCTAGTTTAATTTTAATAATATTTATAATTTAATTTACTTATAATTGGAATAATTTATATTGAAAACTAATGAAATATCATGTGATTGTAATGTATTTTCGCCATTGAACAAGTAAATAAGTGATCAATATATTATAAAATTTTCAATAGCTTTTCACTTTCACCTGTAATTTTTCTATTCATAATTATGGGGGACATCCAAGAAGCAATTGACAATCCCCTCGACATAGACGGAAGCAATTTCAATGCAGATTTGTATTTAGAGAATGTGATGAAACGAGCCACTCTCAGACAAATCATGGACAAGGAAGCCGAAATAGTCACCCAGAGCCAGTTTCTACAGTCTGAAATGCAGACTTTGGTCTACGAGAATTATAACAAATTTATTTCTGCAACGGATACAGTACGAAAAATGCGTTCAGATTTCAGAATAATGCAAGAGGAAATGAACAAACTTAGTGAAAATATTAATAAAATTACTTCATTCAGTGCACAAATATCTGAATCGTTAAAAGAAAGTGGTAATAATGTCAGTAGACTATGTGGCACTCGACAGTTGTTGGATAAACTTCAGTTTTTATTTCTGCTCCCTTCTCAGTTGAATAAAGCAATAATTGAGAGTAGATACGCTGACGCAGTACATGACTACACTCACGCTCAAAGAGTGCTCCAAAAGTATGGAAACCAACCCTCATTTCAAAGTATTCAAACGGAATGTTCAGAAATCATTTATGGGTTAAAGAAGACACTCAGAGATAGATTGCTCAGTCCAGAAACCTCTGCTTCTGAGTTAGCTGAATGTGTTGGCCTTTTGAGACAACTACAGGAGACTGATTCTTCTCTAAAAGATATCTTCTTAAGCTGTGCTGAAAGTAGATTGGATAAACATTTGCAGACGCTTAGTGGAATGGTTGAGAGCACAGACATCTTAGAGTGGGTGGAAAAATGCAATCAAACACTGCTCGCTGATTTGGGGATCATTATATCATGCTACCATGAAATGTTTCAGGACAAAGAGGATACAAACATTCCAGAATTTGCAGACAAAATTATGTTGCAAGTCTTCCATTTATTTGAAGAAGTTGCCAAACGGCCAGATAATGTTGGTACGGAAATTTTAATTAGAGGTCTAGATAAATTCTTTAGGAAATTACAAGCAATGACAGAAATAATTTCAAGTGAGACAATGTCTAACAAGGCAACGGAAATTGTAATACAATGTATCAATAACAAGGCCACAATACAGTATCAGTCTATTCAGACACAATTCAAAGAGAGCTTGATGAAAGTAAGACTGTCCCTTGCTAGCAAAAGTACTGAAAATACTGATCTTAAAGACATTTTGAATTCCTTACAAGTATACTTGATGCAAAAAGTTCAAGCGTCACTTTTAGATCTAATGGCATTTTTGCAAAATAACCTTTCCTTTGGACTCAAATCGTGGTGCGCTAAAGCAGTTGCTGACACATGCTGGAAGGTAATCTCGGAGACAATGGCAAACCTTTCAGAAATGGTTAAGAAAATGGCCTGTTTGCAAACATCAAACAATAATATACCATTTGAACTTTTACTAATTCTTGCTAAACTGTGCTTAGAAATGCAAGAGAATGGTGTCACTACACTCCACAGTCACTTGCTAAAACTTTTAGAGGAGGCTGCTCCTGGTTTGACTATTGAAAATAAAGACACTAATAGTATAATGGTTAATTTGTCTACAGCTGCACAGTCTGCTTTGGACTCTGAAGTGATATTTATTGGTCAGACTGCAGCCCAAATGTTGAGAGTCTCGGTGCTAGCAAGAGATTGGCTACGGGCGCCTGAACCAAGAGGACCCAGGGCAGTCTGTCGCCGAGTTGTTGAGACTTTAGCTAGTGCTGACAGTGCTGCTTCTCAACTATTCCCAACTAGCGTAAAGCCATCTAGTGACTCTAGTAGACGCACTATTTGGTCCAGAGCACCATCTTCTTTCTCACCTATTAATAGAATTTTCTCTGAAAGAATTGAAGTATTTAGCCCAGCAGGGGCAGATAGAGCTGCTTTATCAAATGGTGCCCTGAAAGTAGCTTTAAAAGCTTTAGTAGAGTGTGTTAGACTTCGAACATTTGGTAGACACGGTCTGCAACAATTGCAAGTGGATGTACATTTTCTACAACAGAGATTGTCATGTATGGGAAATGATGAGAGATTGCTAAATGCTTTGTTGGAAGATGCCTTATCGTCAGCACAGTTGAGATGTGTGGATCCCCAGTTAATGGAACCAAGCATAGTAGATATTATTTGTGAAAGAGGCTAAATAATGTTATTAGATGTTGATATATCCTCTTTGTAATTTATGTATATAATGATAAAATTCTATACAAAGCTGTTTTTTTGGTATATAAAAAGTAAAATAAATTATGTGTAATATTTTTAAGCTTGTATTTTACGATAATAATTATGAGCAAGCATATAGTCAACTTTATTGTTTTATTAAGTTAATACCACATAAACCAATATAACTTTTATTTCATGATAGTCAATTTTCTTTACACTATACCCTTTTTTCTTCTTCTGCCCAGTAGTCCCATTGCTAACAATATGCTTTGTCAGATCGACCTCCACGTGATCCCCCTTTAAAATGATCGTGCTGAATTCCATTCTTACCTATCATCCTTCACTGGTGGCCCGCCAGCGAATACCGTTAGCCCGTAATTATGTTTTTAATATAATTTAAATATATGCGACGATTTAGCGCTGTATTGATATTACACTGGCTCAGCTTCTGATGTGACTTGCGGGTTCGATCTCCTTAATACAAACATTTGTTTTCACGTCCTTTCACTGTAGGCCTTCCCCAAAAGGAGGGGCATCCCAGTAGTTCCCAAGTTTCACGATTGGCAACCGCAGTTAGGTTTTTATGTTTTAAGAGAGACGCTATCCATCCTTCCGCCATTCTATGCCGGGACCACATGGTCCCACGGACCAATATACTTGCGTGCAAGCTGACGGCCCACTTGATTTAAGGAGAATAACGGTTGTCTATAGACATGATCATCCATTTTTGAGAGCTAGGGCGATATCCATTGATTCCATCTAGTAATTCAGTATCATATCCTAGCCTTCAAACTAAAATACAACCGTGCAAGCTGTTTCACAGCAGACATACGAATCAAACATAGTCAACTAAGCACGAATTAAAAAAAATCTATCTACGACAGATGCAACACGAGAGGAGCTGCTTGTACATGCTGGCCTTTTAAATATTTGTACGGATATTTTTTTAAATGTTCCATATTAAGGGATTGTAAGGGGATTAAAACTGGAGAATTTCTAATAATTATATATACCCCCAGCTTTTTTTTTTATACTACTTAGAATGGCAAAGAAGCTGACGGCCCATCTGATGGAAAGCGGTAAACGCTGTCTATAGACCTGAGCAGTACCATGGACATAACAGAGCATACTGTTTCGCTCATGATACCCCCCATGCGTTGTCATTCCTGAGGACTACCTAAAAAAAAAATACATAAATCCTTAAAATTAAATAAAACCCAATTTATTTTAGACAATTTATTGATAACCCATTAATCAAAATTGCATCATCATATTAAAAATAATGATATCATCTACATATATAAAATTTCATTTGATGTTAAATGCTTCTAAAACATAAATCTCACGAGACGGTCTACTCTTTTAGTCATTAATCACATTTACACTGTTAGTCACGAGAGTAATATAACAATTATTTTAAATTAAAAACAACATAATATATTATTACCATTAGAAACAGAGAAATTGTTATAGATATTTTGGTCCAAGTTTGAACGTAACTTGAAAGAGTACCATTCTATGAATATTCACACGTTAACCGACTGATAACAATTTTTACCTCTCTTAGGATGTGTCCGTAGCAACAAAATCTAACAAAACAAAACACCAACCAGCGGATCTACCATGAAATGAAATTCCGAAATTTCGAACTCAATTTCGTGTTTTTGTTTATACCAGAATCGGACCAATAAATGGAGTTTAACATTTCTTTCGTCATACATCCCATCATAAAAGTCAAAAGTAACAATATTTTAACATTTTTAATATTCCCAAACGGCATGTATTATGTAATTGTAACATCAAATTTCTGTTTCGTTTGGCTCCGAAATTTCGGAAAACATTTCATGGTAGGCCCTCAGGCCTGTTTTAAGCAGCAAGTCTGTCACGTGAGTGTAAATTACGCCTCTTCGGATGAAACTTAGTAATGGGGATCTAAAAGTTCCAATGCTAGCAATATACCCTATTAAGTCAATATCCCCTGCTAACCATCTTGATGGGCCAACTTTCTAACTTTCAACCTTATCTATCTTTCACTGGTGCCCAGATAGCCCATACCGATAGCGCAGACGAAGTTTCCATTCCATTTTTACCCATAAAAAAAAATGTCTCGTCAATTTGAACAATACGATCCCCTCTAGAAACCATCGTGGTTTATTTGTAATGATTTTGCCTTGATAGGTCAAGATGGTAGAGAATGCCTTGAGCATTAAATCCATAATAAATAAAGTTTAAATAAATAATATGTCTAACTTGAACCTCATTGTTTCCAGCCGCCACTAATACTCTATCATTCCATTATTATAGAAGGATGAACCATTTTATTCTCATCCAGTAAATAAATCAAATCTGTCCAAAATATAGAAAACATGTTTAAGTAGATTTTTGCAATGTAGAGACAGCTAATGGACTTGGCTAACCCATGGAATTGGGGGACAAGAAATTGTTAGTAATGGTCTAATAGCCCATTGCTATCAATATAGCCACGACCTCAGGTCGAACTCCACGCGGTTCCCCCTGGAAACCATCATGTTTAATTCTTGTCGAATTCATCATGGTGGGCTAACTGACCTGCATTCATTCTCACCTATCATCTTTCACTGGTGCCTCGTCGGTGTATACCGATAGCGCGGGCGGGGTTATCATTCCATTTTCACCCATTAATAAAACCCATGGTATTAGCCAACATCAACAATAATTATGCTAATTGTTTGTTTTATTAGTTTTAGTCGCTACGGACGACGTTTAGATATCGTCTACGGAGATGGGAGCTTTGGATGGCACGACGGTAATGACCTTTGTGCGGATTACGCCTGTTTATATAGAGGTGTCACATAATGCGCATGCGTAATCCGTAACATAATAAGTGTAATTAATTTACATATGCGCGTAATCACTACGCTCACAAATATCTACATATACGCGTATGTATTTAATCGCTGAAACAAACCACAAGTTTCGTAACATACTATTCTACGTATCTCGCCACTGTTCCGAGTCTCCGTAAACGAGTTTTTACACTTACAATGCAACATATTATACCGTATTCATAGATTTATTAGAATTAAGAGTAATGAGTTAAATTAAAAATGCCTAATTGAAAACTCTGCCATCACCATTATACTGTATGACAATTTCTTTTAAACAAAACATTTTAAATTGCTTTAGACAGTCATTTTTGGTCTAACTACGTATAACCCTTAAGATTTTATCTAAATCGAGTTTTATCAAAATCATTGTGCATCAGAAAAATCTGATTTCTTTATTTTATTTATTTTTTTATTTTTATTAAACTTTTAAAATGTTCAAAACATACATATACGACTGTATTGACGCGCCAAATAATTCAAACTCCATTAGTTGGGAAGCGCTTATTTCACTATACGGTAATTATATATTTTACAATTCCTTCAAATCAAATTAATTGAAGAGAATGGGCTCGATTCTGAGACGTCATTTCAATAGTTTAGCAAAATTATTGCACTATGGACCATAATAAATTAAATTAATAACACTACAATTTATGACATACTATGGCGAGCGAACGAGCGCCTACCTTATACCGCGATTAGTAAATTCTCTATCTACCGACTCGCGAAACAATATCACTGTTAAAAACATAAAGTTTAAACTGAAAGCTTATTTACTGTCCAACCTTGCTAAAACAGCAGAATATTAATGTAAATATTGACATTTGAGAACGAAATGTAAAGTACCACACACAAGCCTTTAAGTGCTTTAAGTGGTACTAAAAATCCAGTTTTTTTTTAATGCATTTATGCATGTTAATCAAATTAAAAAAAAAATATATTAGAAATTTAGTTCATATTGGTCCTTAGAAAAAACATTTTGCTATAGTTATTTTAAATTTAGACATAGGTTTTAGAGAAATGGTATCTCAGAATCGGTCCCATTGTATTTAAGCTCATAAAATACATCCTACACTCCTACAGTAATTAATAAAATTAGTTTACTCGAAATGGTATGAAGGATATGTCAGTAATACATGCACAAAGAACAATTCTTTACAGAGCAGTATTCGATTTTTGTTACAAAATTCCTGTAAATGGAACAGGGAATATTCAACCGTAAATATCAATGCATATAACATAAAATCATCTATACATTGAGTACACATTTTTTTATATAAAACTTATTGTCCATGAAGATATGTTATGTGCATATGTTCATTTACATTTTGGTTAACATATACTATATATTCCCATGTTGGAAAGGATGGATCAATCAAGATCCCAGTTAAAGGGGCTTTCTTAATATAATTGATACTAAAAATTTGTATCACATATAAATTATGGATATGACAGAGATAAGTTTAAATTTAGAACAACATTCATAGAGGTGTGCTATTATGTATGTATGTCCAAATAAAAGAAACTATATCAAGAACAAGGCTCATGTATTGTTCGCTAGGAATTTGGTTACAAAAATCGGATAAACTTCGTACCTATATTGTTATTTTTAAATATAAAGTTGCAAACTGGTCCTTTGTCTGGTTTATATATAAAAAAAAAGAAATATACATTTTGTGAAAATACTAACAAATAATAATAGACTAGCATGAATCCAATACACGGAGCATTTTTACTGTGTGACAAGTCGCTTAAGAATTAAACTTTGAAATCCTATTTTTTTTTTAAACGGTATGCAGATATCTGACTTAGACAAAGAGCTTACGCTTCAGTTATAGCTACGCGAATTGATCATTACTTTTTATAACTATAGTCAGTCATCCTACATGCCAAAAAGGATGAGACAGATCGTCAGGCCCTCTATTAAGACAAGAAGAAAAATAAATCCATTTCGAAAACCGTTTACGCTACTGCATGAATGGAAAAGAATGAGACAGTACGTTTTACGTCCCATTATATCTCACACGCACAGTAACACTAACAATTGAAGTTTATCACTTATTTAGTGTCATTGCTTATCAGGAGGACTTTTGGCTGACTCTGTTCTTTATACTTTATAACGAACATTCGAAACAAACTCATTGTAATATTAAATCCATAAACTAAATTCATACAACGTAATATTTATTATACGTAAAATTATGCAAAATTAAACTTTCGGTAACGTCACTATGATATCGAATAAAAAAAAATCTTTTCGCCATCATCACCTATCCAAACTAAACACATTGTTCAAACATGTGTTTTAAACATAAATATCAAATACGGCAGTTCAAAAGAGAAATTGCACTGAATTCACACAGGAGTATAGAATTTCATAATAAAAAGAAAAAAATTAACTTATTGATACTTTAACTTTAATAAACAGTCATTCATTCAAATAAACCGAATTATATATAAATTTCAAAGATTGTTGAATGAGATTTTAGGTGTTGATATATTGGTTTAAACGAAATTCATTTATAAAACACAATAATTAGTGAACAATACGACAAAACTATAACGAAACAATAATGCCAAATGTTTTACTCCATTTCTTACAACTAATAAAATATAAATAATTATTCTCCTACATATATACTTATGACTAAGCTCTAGAACAAATTGACAAAATATAGGTATCTATAGGTAATTTTATGTTCTCAAATTTACATATAGACAAGATCAACGATCAAAATATTGTTTATAGATGCTCATCTTAAATACTTGTAAAAATATTCCTATGATACAAACAATGGTCCGTCTGTTACTTTATTGAGAGCGTTGTGATGTATGACTTTATATTTAATTATAACTAGCGATTCGCCTAAACATAAACTAGCCTATCATTCCCAAAAAATATTCTAGGAAATGAGAATTCAGTCCGATCGCTTAATTACACTCGCTCTAATACAACAAACGACTCACCATCACTAATTCAATGTTCATTTCTTTCTCTCCATGAGTTTTCTCATTTTCTCCGGTACAGGCACTCCCCTGTGGGCGGCGCCCCGCCTCGGCTTCGTGGAAGACACGCCACTCTGCGACGACTGGTCACCAGACTTGATTGACTTGCGATTAGGTGTCTTGGCGTCACTTTTGTTAACGTTCGACTTCCTTGTCGCTTTATCCGGCATGGTAGCGGTAGCGGAATTACTTGTAACACTTGATTTTCTCAAATCGACACTCTTTCTCGATTTCCCGGCGACACTAGATTTATTTGGTGCCGATTTTGTGACCGTCTTATTATCGACCTCTGGTGGCGGTGACCGTCGGCGACGTATCCGCGGTGGCGTGTGCGCTACCGTCGTATGACGAGACAGTAGCGCCGCACTATTGAACAATTGGCCACAATCACATCTGTGCTCAATCTCTGCTGTTCCTACAAACACACATTTAGAAAGTTTAGCCATAAAATCTCTGAAAAGCACATTAATGAAAATATAGAGACATACTTACGTCTTTTAATTGGTTTTATAGGCAACGGCTTTACACTGGATTTAGCGGAAATTATTTTGCCCTGTGATTTACGTCTAGCTATATTAGTAAGTGATTTTCTTTTCTCTTCCAAAGGTTTTCTTTTAATTTTCTTATCTTTCTTTGGCGATTCGTGTGATACAGACTTGGAAGTCTTTTCGACAACAGTTTTGGGGAAAGAGTATTTAATATCACTATCGTCGGAATCTGTGGAAGGCACTGGATCTAATGCAGGTGGTTTAACAACAGTTTTTGCAAGATTAGGTGTGTTGACAGGCACATCTTTATTTTCGATAGATTTCGATTTTAATCGAGGAACTTTGGGTGGGTGTTGTAATGATATTCGTCTTTTGACTAGATCTTTAGAGTTAGGCCGTTCAATTTGTAGAGAGTTTCTTTTTTTAGCTCTAACTTTCATAAACAACTTGGACTCTGGGGTGTCGCTTTTAAAATTGGGATTAAGCATATACCGAATCTCATCATCATCACTAGATATAACAGATTGTACATCATCTGAGATTATAGGAAGAGGTGCGTTTATAGTTTTATGACGTTTAGTTATTGTCGGTTGAACTTTTTCTTTTGACACCAACTTCCTTTTAGGCGTATTTTGATTTTTTAATATTTCTCTTTCTTCCGTTTTTGCATCTTTGGTGAGCGTTTCAGATTGATCCTTCGCTGGTTTAGCAGTATCGTTTTCTGTTTTCACATTATTTTCATCATTCTCGATTTCAGTATGCAGTATTACTTCATTTTCAGGTTCTACTAATATTTTTTCCTCCAATCGTGAATCTTCCGTGACATTGGCTATTTCTACATTGTCCACAATATCAAGACTTGTTGAATTTTTTTCCAGTACAATTTCTTTATCGGATGAAATTTTATCTTCTACAGTTTCGACGTCGCTATTTTCTTCTGTTATTGTTTCTTGTTTGGACTCTTCGACATCACCACTGTCTTCATTCAATTCATTTTTTTCTATTTGTTTTAACTGTTTAGCAGCAGATTGTTTCTTTTTTCTTTGACAAATTATGGTGTGCTTATTTAAAGAATGCTCATTAGGGAACACCATATAACATAGTGAACATTCATGAATTATATCCTTTGCTGACAAAGAACTTTTTAGATTTTTATTATCAGATTTTTCCAAATTTGTTTCCAAATGTTGTTGTTTATGTTCAATTAAATGTTGCAATTTTCTGAAAGTTTTCTTGCAAATTTCACATTGCGATGGGGGATTAGATTTTTCGTAGTTAATTTGTGTGGATGAGGTACTTTTTTGTCTGTTAATACCATCATGAGTTTCTCTATGTTCAACTAGATGATGCAGTTTTCTAAATGATTTATCACAAGGTTCACATCGGAAACCAGCGCTAGGATCTTCTGTGTGTTTGGAAGTCTTTTGGTCATTTTCAATTTTATGTTCGTTCCGTTCAGAAGAGTATTTCCTTGACAAACGAGCAGTCATGTTGCTGTTTGAATTATGAATAATCCTATGTTGGACCAAATGATGTAATTTCCTAAATTCCTTTTTGCAAACTTCACAACTAAATACCGATTTAAAGGGCTGACTGTCAGGTTTGTTTTTCTTTAAATCGTCTTTACCATGTTGCAATTTGTGGCTAACCAAATATGACAATTGTCTAAATGTTTTACCACAAAATTCACAAACAAGATTATCTTTATCAAAAGTTTTACTTTTAATTACTTTCCTTTCCTGTTTCACTTCTCGTTTTCCAGATTTATCCTTAATAGGAGTATCTTCAATTAGAATGACATCATCTTTATTCAGAATATGTTTAGGACTATCTTTGGATTCCTGTTTCTTGGACGTTTCCTTTTGGCAAATATTATTTTTACTTTCGATTTCATCGTCTTTTGTTTCGGAGTCTTGTGATTGTCTTGATCTTCTTTTATCTGATTCGGATCGATTAGGCGAAGGGCCCGTACAATGTTTAACGTGTTTAAAAACGACATTTTCTGATCTAAACAGTTTGCCACAAATGGGGCATACAATATTTTCATTGATTTTACCCATTGTCCAATTTTCTCTTACTACTTCGTCATCACTACTATCGTCTTCCATATTTCTTATGGATGCATCTATTTTCTCATCCGTTGACACTCTTGACTTTTTCTGAGGAGATAAATTTTTATTCTTTTCAGAGTCTATTTCAGGAAGAGGATATTTTCTTGGTCGTCCTCTCCCTCTTTTAACTGGCGTATTTGATTGATTATCAGAATTATTGACGTTGATAATGTTAGATTTAATGTTTTCAGCTTGGGTTTCGATTAATGCTGCAGCCATAACTAAATTGTCTATGGCTGAGACAGTATTTTTATTCCTTGGATGAGGTTCATGTGGTTTAGAATAATCTTTGAGATTCTTTGTCACATCAAACGGTTTTGCCAGTTGAATTACTTTATCTTCTACTGTTGTAGGACTACGTCCTAACAAATACGATTTCTTTGGAACTATAGCTTTTGCATTTTTTTCAATTTTACTCTCATCTGTTTTCCGTTTCTTTTTAGGAGAAATATCAAAACCTAAATCTTCAGGCTCAATAAGTTCCAATTCAGGTGTTTCGACTGGAGTTAGGACCTGTTTTCTTTGATGTTTGCTTTTAATTTTAACATCATCTTGAGATTTTCCCTCCTCGATGGTCTCCATGAGGTCTGAATCTAACGAATCACAAGAACTGTGGGTATTAGTATCAATAATAGGATATTGTTTTGTAGTTGACGTTAATTCTTTACCTTGAACATTTAATTGAGTAGGAATATACTCTGCATTTGTATCCATATAAACAACCTTGACTGGTTTATCTTCAATAATAGTAAACGGCCGTTCTAAATGTCGTTTCGCTGTCATTACCGACTGATAAGCCATTTTCACTTTAGAAGGACAACTTTTATGAGAAACATCTGAACTTAATCCAAATTTAATCGTTGTTGACGTATTTTTTGATTGTGTATGATGATTGTAAGTATCAAGTTTCTGAGTCGATATAATTTTGTTGTCAGCGCGTTTGGTTTCATTTTTGTTATGTTTAGGATACACCAAAGCATTATCTTTTTCAACGACAGTTTTGATCACGTTGGGTGATTCACCACCATCGAAGTTAACTTTTAAACAATTTTCATAAGTTATAGAATTTCTTCTAGCAAATTTATCAAAATCTTTTTCTGTTATAATTGATTCCATTTTAGAATCTTCCTTATTACTTTTTACAATCAAAGATTCAGTTAGCGGAATAGTTTCTTTTGTTGATGATTTGATCAAGATATTCTTGTTTGGTTCAATGTCACCTGTTATAGGCTCGTGTTCTATAATTTCTTCTTCAGAATAATTATCTATTAAGTTATCATTGGTGTTCTTTTGTGAGGTTTTATTAATAAACGGCAATAAGTTTGGCATTCTGTTATGCTTATTAACAGATTTATCACTATCAGTTTTTGAATAACTTTTAAAAGCCTGTTTAGATGATGCTGAAGATACTTCTGGTTGAGATTTTTCAACCAATGAAATTCCATGTATTTTATTCATTTTCACCTCTATATCATCTAAAGTATTTGTATCATTTTCTAGAGACTCTTGACTGACCTCTTCCGTATTAAGTTTATTAGGAACTCCTCTATTAATAATCCCTTCAATTGTTTTATCAATTAAATGTTGATTGTTAATTTCCTTTCGTTGTGTACTTTCTTTTTTATCTACTGCCATAAATGTTGTAGTGTCAGGAATTTCTTTTAGAGATTTTATAACATTTTCTTGTTTAGTTGGATTTTTCATTAGTATAGGCCTCATTTTTACGTCTGTTTCTGTTTTTGTAGCGTCCTGCACACTAGATAATTTGTTAGTAAAAATTTGCGTTTCTTTTTTTATTCCTGATTTAAGAATGCCTGATCCTTCATGTGCCTTTGCTGTAGCGATATTAGACTGCCTTTGACTATCAATTTTTTTCAAAACGTCTCTTCTATTTAAATCATTAGAATTTTTAATTTGTTTTCCATTTGAACTATTTGTAGGGATCCTAGATTCTTTAATTTTATTTAAAAACTCTTGTCTATTGGCTTCAGTCCATTTGCCAAAAGGAACACCAGAATGGTTATTATTTATAGGCTTTTGTATTAAACTATGGACTTTTGGTGTATCTTTCTTTTCTATTAACTCAGTTTTAGTTTGAGATATGTTCTGAATTGGGGAAACTACTTTAGTATCTAATTGTTTATCTTTACTGTCATTATTACAATGTTCTTTAAGTTCAGTTTTATTATGTACAATTTTAATGGATTCATCCACTACAGAAGTAGAAACATGTGTGTCAGATATTTTTTTAACAGCAGGCTTCACTGTCGCTGTATCTAATGTTTCTGTTATTGTTGTATTTATTTGTGGAGATTCATTTGGTAAATGGAGTTCTGGTCCATCTGTAATTGGTTTACTTTCCAACTCATTTTTATTTAAGCTTGAATTTGAGGATTCCTGTGTTTTTCCAGTAAGATCTACAACTGATGATTTGTGTATTGCATCATCTTTAGATTTATCTTTTCTAATATCTTCCTGTTTAGGTATAATTTTTGTTTCAAGTTTTTGCTCATCTGGTTGTTTCATTAGAGTTTCCGTAGGCTCCGAAACTGGTTTATTTCGTTCAAAAGTATCTGTAGCTTTACCTTCTTTTCTGTCTTCAGTAACTAAAATATTTTGTTTCTTGTCTTGTATTTTATTGTCTGTCGTAATATCAATATTTTCGCTATTTTCTTTTAATGCATTATCACTTGTAACAGCCCTATTATCACTATCGTTACATGAAATTATATTTGAATTATCACTTTGCTTAAAATTATTCAACTTATTTTCTTGTTGCAATTGTCCAACTAGTGAAACTTCAGTATTGGCAACTTCTTTATCTTGTGCTTTATTCCTATCTACTGCTATTTTTTCTTGTGTATTAGTCGATTGCTCGCTTTCATTAGTAGATTTCTTAGCATTTACAGTTTGTTCCATTTTATCAATACTTTCACTAATTTTATTATCAATTACTTCAGCAGAGATTTTAGTAACTTCCTCTATATTTTTGTTTTCGTTGGGTATTTGATTTTCTGATTTAAGTGGTATTGTGTTGAGAGATTTCAAATTCGAATCTTTATCATTGTTTTCATTTGATTTTTCTGATTCTTTCGAAACGATAGTACAATCGGAAGATTTATTTTCGTCGAAGATACTTTTTGATAATCTATTCTGTGACTCCAGTGCTCTCTGTTTGGAACTATCAGTGTGCACTTCAATAGTCTTCTTCACATTATCAGAATGTCTGTTTGGATGCAGCTGTTGATCCACCATAGTTTTTGTAAGAGGAATGCCTTCTTTATTTGGTGTAGAGTGATACGTCATGGGTGTAAAACTTCCTATCAACGGCGACTTTCTTGCTTCACTAAATTTCACCATTTTACCATTAACATTTAATTCAGTTCTGGTATCAGATTGCGACTCTTTGTTTAGCTCATACTCCAAGTCATTTTTTGTAGAAGTTTGCTCTTCATTTTGAGACATTTTCTGACTTTTTTCAACAACTTTGCTGCATGAATGATCACTCATTACTTTGTTTATGTCCTTTATTGGAACATGTGACACATTCATATCTGCACTCTTTCCTTGTTTACTAGGCTGTAAAAATAAAATTGAAGCATAAGTCAAATAAAATAAAATCTTATATGTATATTGTTAAACTTTAATAAAAACCTTTCATATCTACTTACCACTTCTTTGGGTACTTCTATTTGTATTTCCTCATAAACTTCTAAATTTCCCTCCGCATTTTCACTGGAATTGAAAGTTATATCAAATTTCAACAAATGTCAATTTTAATAAAATTAATTACATGATATCTACAGACATGCCATAGAAGTAACTCTCAAACACGTCCTCGTGAAGCTTCGCTCGCATCTTGGGGTGCTAATCAGTCGATTCGCCTGAATACGCCTATGAATACTATATTATTTTCATAATACTAAGCATATATCGACCATATATTTACACTATAATGTAAAATATTATTACTAATATTATATGTGTGAAAGTGCATTTACTTGTTTGTTACCTTATAGTGCCTTAACCACTTAGACAATCAGCATGAGTATGATTATACTATGTGGAATGGAGGAGATAGGATCCTTTTTTAATTCAAATGTTACTATCATTGTTATTATTTAGTTTCTTAATTTAAAAATTATAATGTAAATATTGACTTGTAATGAAAACTGTTACATCCATATATATAAATTATAAATAAAATTAGAGTGTCTGTTTGTAATACTGAAATAATAGTTTTTTTACTACATGTACATCAATACAGTACATACACCAAAATAACATTTTTTACAATTTTTGTCTGTCTGTCTGTTTGTTCCGGCTAATCTCTGAAATGGCTGGACCGGTTTTGACGGGACTTTTATTGGCAGGTAGCTAATGTAATAAAGAGTAACTTAGGCTCCTTTTATTTTAGAAAAATAAAGTAATGTTGCAAGTCCAAGTACTGTCCAGTACCGCGCGCAGCTCACAGCTATTGTCAATAAAAATATAACTTAATTTGGTATAAGTAAAAATAAAATTAAATTAAGTAGGTATCATAATAAAAAAAAAAAAAATCTAAAAAATTAATGAATAGACTGTCAGACGGAACGAAGTTCGCCGAGTCAGCTAGTTGGTTAATAAAAAAAAAAAAATAATATACTAGTCAGTAAATATATACCAGTCACACTGACAAAGTGATGGATAAAAGCTACAATAGTACAAAATAAATGAAATCTAAATCATTAGATACTTTATAGGAGTGTTCTATCAGTGAAACTTGAAAAATAAATGGACAATTAATAATTGAAATTAATGATGATGATTAAAAAACAATACCTAACTGGTTTTGTTTTGTTTGCATAACTGTGTTTCGGTTTGAAGGGTGGAATAACAAAGGGATAATGAAGGAATAACACCTGAGTCCTCAGGAATCACAACGCATGGGAGGTATCATGGGCGAAACAGTATACTCTGTTATGTCCATGGTACTGCTCATGTCTATAGACAGCGTTTACCGCTTTCCATCAGATGGGCCGTCAGCTTCTTTGCCATTCTAAGTAGTATAAAAAAAAAATATTATCTGCTCTGCTACCATAATGTCACTGAATCAATTATCCTAATCAAAATTACCAATTTTTTTTTTAAATAGACAATGGATGGTATTGTATTATATACAATACAATACTGTATACAGTGCAACACAGACTAAATCTAAAATAATAGAACATAAGTAAAATATCAAAATTAAATAAAAAAAAAATGGTAATAATGCACAGAAAGTAAAATTGAAATTGTTAGTAGTATGTAAAATTAAAACTACAATATATCAGTACTCCTAGACAAGGTACACACAAATCTATTGTTAGAATCACTTTGGTCAGTGTCCACATGGGAAAAAACAAGACAGTGCATGTCACCATTTCATTCTGATGGATACGCTAGATATAATGATTTTATCAATAGTTGTTTGAGCTTTGAAATAAAAGATAAAATTTACATAATCAAAGTCAAAATATAAATGGAGAATAAATTAAGAGACAATGCAAGACAGTAAGTATACTAAGGAAGGAGGAGGATCTTTAGTGTTGGAATACTTATGTCATATAAAGGACTTTATAGTGATTTATTTTATTATTGAACTTTATACACTTAGATAACTACAATATAATATGGCTGACTTAACAATGTATGGTATCAACCAGTCATTCATATATAGAAATGATTATTAAAAATTAATGTGAGCAGGAAATAAATAGTAGAAAATATAAGGATATATATATAAACTCTTACAGATTTAAGCTCACCTTTTGTAGATCCTCATTTAATATAAATTATAACAATGTAATTTTTGCACACAATAAAGTATAAATAAACATATCTGTATATTAGTATATTTATGACATATCACTCAGTCAGATAAATGGCAACACTGAATCTACCCTAGATTCAGTGTTGCCATTTTTCTTACCTATCTCTTAATAAATGAATTTGATAGTTTTGTGAAATTATTAAGTTATGGACCAACATAAAATAAAATTTTAATATTATATATTTCATTTTTAAAAGTTTCATAAGCACACAAGTTTTTTCATGTTTTAACTACCGGTTTAAGCTCGTTAACCAAGCTTGACTCAGGCTTGTGCTCATGCCACAGTCACTCACGACTATGGATCACAAATTGATTCTGAAACTAGTAAAGCTTTTTCAATTTTATTACACATAAGTTAAAGCAGTAATTATATATTTTGACTTAAATCTATTAAAAATTTAATTCATATTGGTCTTTAAAATAGAAAATTCATTGTCATATCAAATTGAAATTAATTCATCCAGCTTTTCAGCACCAAAGGACAACTGATGAACAGACTATGTCAGTTTTGATGCTTATTTTATTAAGTATTTGCCTAATTGTTACCTAAATATGAGAATACCATAGCTTTTTGTCTATCTGTCCTGTGTGACAGCAGTATATTACTAGATTTTACCTATTATTTCATCCACATGACCAAGGTATATTCATATTGGGATTAGGATAAAAAGTTATCTTAGTCCAAAGTTTCATGATAATTAGTCGAGCCATTATAGCACCAAGAAGCAATAAAAGAATAAATAAACAAACTGCTTTTTGCATTTATAAAGACTGTATACACCTACAGTACCTTGCAGTTATTATTATTAGTAGTTTCTTAATTAAAAAGTTAAATAATAAATTAAATATTTAAAGTAACAATAAATAAATAAAATTAAATTACAAGTAAAATTAGTAAACATTTTTTTAGTTGGAACTTACTTATTTAAATATATACCAAAAAAAAAAATGTCTATGTATGTACTTAATTTATTTTTTTTTTTATTAAATTTTAATTTCAAATTTTTTTTTTTATGCCATATAATATTTGTCCATATTTGTTCTATCAAAGCAAATATAATATATACAACATGAATAATTTTATGTACCTACATACAAGTTGACATTTAATAAAGGGTAAAGGTCATTGACACTTTGTTTTATGTTTACTCCCAAGAGAGAAATAGTAGATTATAGATGATGCTGATACTTGTGACTTATTAATTAAAAGTAATAAATATAACTTTTATTATAATTCAAGTGATAAATATTATTTAATAACTAAATTTGTTCCGCTACTTTGTATGCTTGGAATTCAAAAGTAGGAAAACCAATCAAAAAGACTATTTTTAGATGGCACATCAAAATAAAACATGCTGTTTTTTTAATTTAAATTTTAAGCAGATGTATATTATCCCTAAGACAAGCTTATGTGCTTAGGGGCATATGGTTACAGAGGGGTGTAATCATACAACCCTGTGCACACAGAATTTATAAACAAAGAAAATATATATAAAAGATGTTTATGCCTATATTGATACATCATCACCTTCCTACCCTTATACCAATTATTATTTGGGGTTGGCGTAATGTTTTTATCCATATTACAAAAAGATTTAGTCAAGTCTCTTTGGAATAAAAGATATTCATACAATTTACCCAAAAATTGGCATAGTATTAAGAATGTGCATATTAATGACAATCAACGATTACAATTGAGAGCAAGATTTTCCTGTCTAAAGAAATTGAAAAGTTATATTCACTCAACCAGGACAAATAAGAGATTGAATTCATTAGCAAATACTTAACACTGAATCAAACTTATATTAACTATAATGACATTATTGATAATTTTGCAAGACAAAAATGTAGATGCATCTACCTCAAATTTTATTTTTTCAACAATTGTCATTGAACATGATTAGAATCAATTTTTAGATAAATAATAATAATATAATAATAATTCATAATTTCAATCACCAATGTTTAATACTGTTAGTTAAAATTTATATTGGCACAGATTAGGTGCCTGCCTAGCCACTCTCCATATTAATCTGCCTCAGCTTCAGAAAGATAACAGTGAACCACATCAAATTTAGTGCAGTTTTTATGTGATATTGGTACAAACTTACAAAATTTCTAAAAGCTATTGATTAGGTTTGTAATGCTCTTATTAAACCTCCTCTTATAATTTTTTCTTAAGGATCTTTCATATATACACATCAACTAGTCACAAATTTATTATATAGTAAGATTGTATATAATTTATTAAATTGAAAATATAAAAACAAATAAGAATTATATAAAAAAATTACAGTACAGTATAGTACCAATAGATATATATAATTTTTTTAAACATTCACTAATATTTAAAATTAGAAGAAAATAATCAAACTCTATTCTAAATTTAAAATATACCTTAATAAAGATATATTACATACTATGGCAACTCCAAATAATAGGAAAAGGCATGAACAATGATAGCACTTTTTGTTAAGGAATTTGTTATAAATTTAACTAGAAATTAATAAACACTTACCGAACTTTAAGGAACTTGAAACTTGGTTGATGCTGGTCATCATCTATAATTTGAACAGCTGCAAGTTCCTCCTGTCCCTCTTTTCTATACAAATACAGTCCATTACCAATATCAATAGCATCTACATTTTTACCATCTATTTGCAACACCACCTCTGTATCTTTACTCTCTGTTGCAGTTTCAGCATTCACTACAGTACTCTCGGCATTATCCTCACTGTCTTTGAACTGAACAGATTCTGACTCCTTTATTTCAGAGTTAGACTTATCATCCATGTCAACATTATCATCGATAATGAGCTCATCACCATCATATGAATTATCATTATCATCAAATATATCCACGCCACCTGAGAGAATGCTACCAGCTTCAATTTGTTTCCCAATTTTATAGCTATCTAACAGATCACTCTTTTTTCCAATTGGTGACAAATTAGATATAAGCTGGTCGTCGGAGTCAGTAATCGTGCTGTCTGTAGTGATAGTCGTCGATGGCAAAGAAACATCCTTTATTGGGGAAATGTCGAATGTCGAGTCTACTTCTGACAGAGAAAAGTACTTAGAGGAGCTCTCATTAGCGGTCATGAAAGCCTCGCTCGGCGGAGACGTGGTGTCCAGTGTCGAGTCCCGAGAGCTCCCCGCTTCGCCTCGCAACTGGTTCAACCTATCCATTTGTGCACTGCATCTGTTAAAACAATAGATAAATAACGATAAATGAATTATCTTAAGATATTATTAGCAAATTCAGTGAAAAATCGGAGCATCGATTAATAAGAGACTATTGTAAACACATGAAGGTTGGTCCACCAATTAGCACCTAGGTCAATAGCAAAGAATACGGTGAAACTTTTTTGTAGAACAAACGATAATGATACTGTGACACTTTTGATAAACATCAAACAATCTTGATCGTACCAAGATGAAATTTGATGAAATAGCTTCCACACTGAAACCGTGAATAAAAAATGTCTGTTATAATATGAGTAAAAGCTCTATAAGTATTTTTATAACAATTTTTGTTAACAACACAACACATCAAAGATTAAAAGATGGACGCCAAATAAGAATGTTGCCGCTATCTGAACTTCTGATAGTAAAATTTTATCTTTGCAAATTTTGTGATAAAAATTAATTATTACCAATATGATAATTAATTATATGAATGCTCAAAAACTAATAACGCTATGTTAGTGCTAAGCACATGATTTCTGGTACCTAAAAATAAATTAATTTTATTTGAGTTCTTTGAAATATAATTAAAAACTATTTAAATAGATATTAGATTATAAGCAAACACTGTATGAGTGTTACGAGAAAACATTTTTTAGAGTTACCTTTAATTATTATTTGTTATTAATTTGAACTGAAAGGCCATGTATGATACTATTATGAAAAATTAAAGCTACTATAGGTAAAGGTACAGGTACAATATTTTCACTATAATGTGTATTATATCTAGAAGCCCCACATATACATATGCCAATTTAAATCAAAATTTGTTTCATTCATTCAATTGCGAAAGTATTTACGACTTATTTATAATATAGCCCACTAGCATGTACATAAATTATTTAACCATTTATTTTAGTTTAACATAGCTTTGTTACCATTTTTTTTTCTCGTTTATTATTTTTGATTGAAGATTTTCATTATCATCATTACCATAACCAATCTTAATTTATTAGTAACCCATTTAACAATTTGATTGATATTGTATACACACATTGTTATACTTTTTTTATTTATATCTATACAATAAGATTTATTATATTTTAAATTATTTAATAATTAAAAACAAAGGCAGCACTGGCGCCTCTGTTGAGCAATTTAAGAACAAAGGAAAGGTTCTATTTCTTTGCTTTTATCTGCACCAAAGATATAGAATAATAACGACACAATTATAAGTTTATCTATGGTGGTAATTATATTAAAAATTTGACAACTCTTGTTTTGTATGTCGTTATTTTGAAAGTATATGTTTGTTTTCTTCTTTTACTTTATTGTGATTTCATAAAAAAAGTCTTCGATAGAAAAAGCTCGTAATGGCTCCTCGAGAGATAGCTAGAGCAACGCCAAAAGTGCAGCGCACTATAGTTAAAACCAACACTACAAAAGGAAGAACGACTCCATCATCAACAGTAAAAAAAACCATGTCGAATAAAAAAATACCAACGGAGAAGATTCCTCTTAAAAGTAAGTAGTTTTTTAATATTCATTGTTAAGGATATAGTCATTTGTCTTGATGGATGATTGTTAGATAGCGGTTCTCAGTTTAAATTGATTCATAATTTGTATTTTTCATGTTATTTCTATTAAATACCTAGACTCTTCTGTAAATATAAATTCATCATAATCAGGTATCGATAAATTAATATAAGTTGTCAGTCCTTGTTTATTAATCAGTTGTGACTATGTTTATTAATCAGTTTTCCAATAGTATTTATTATGTACTATGTTTATTAATTTTTCGACATTTATCGATATTTATTTATTGTTACTTTCTTAATTTTCAGTGAATAACATGACTGTGGCGACGAGACAACGGACTAGCACAGTCCCAAAGGTCTCCACACCAAAGTCCAAAGAGAATAAATCTGTACCGATGCCAAGCAGTGTCACAAAAAGCGCTAAAAAGGCCACTTGGAAACGTAGACCCAAGCCAGCACACTCTGGAGTACCAGTACCTGAGAAGATGAAGAGACTGTTAGAGAAACAATTACAAGACTCAGATTGTAGTTTGTGAACTCAACTTTATTTGATCCTGACTATATTATTATAATTGAACACAGACAACTCAACTAGAATTGTCTGTAGATCAAAAATTAAAAAAAATAAGTGTTAAAAACTGTACCAAGTTTGTTCAAATAAGTACTTTTCATTAATATAATAACACCAATGTTGTATATGTAATGAGGGATAGACAATTTCATTTTTAAAATATGTATGTCCATAGGATAAAAATGAGTCTTGAAACATGTCCTACATGTCTTTTAATCCAGCCTGATTAAAATTCTCTGATTAAAAATCTGATTATTTATTTTGTATGTGATAACAAAAGAAAGATAATTTTGTTCTGGATGATGCATATATTTTAAAAATTAAATAGTTTGTCATTTGATTAGACCCTTATTAATTACTGTTTCCTTTGTCTTTGTCTATGTGAATCAGTATATGTATAGTTATATATTCTGATTCAAATATATATGTAATGTTAGGTAGAATCTATATTCCTAATTTCATTAAAACCTGTTTGACCATTTAAGCTTTCCCAATAATTACATAGACGAAAACGTAATCTAACTAGAACTTGGTAAAGTATGGACTCTTTGTATAAGGATTATTATGGTAGATACTTATGTCACTATTGTTTCTACTTGATAATGACAATTATTATGTTTTGAAACTCAGGTTCTTATTCATTTGACTAAAAGTTGTGTAATAAAAGCTTTTGTGTATTAAATAAACATAATACATAATTATGTTGTATTCTAGTTCTTAGGTTGTGTTAAAATTATTAATTTAACATTAAGGATTATTTTAACATATAACTATGTATAGGAATAGTTTGAGGACTTTGGTCTCTTGGCCTAAGCCATACCATGACAAAATGATTGAAAAGTAAATATTATTTGTGTCCATACTGCAGATTATTCAAGTGTGGCAACATCAAAAATATTTCTATTTTCCCAAACCAATTCGATAATTTTGAATATTTTTGATTGATTATTTATGAATAATCAATCAAAAAATCAAACATAATAAAGTGCTTTGCTTGCCAACTAAAGTACAAAATTATGCGATAAGAGTGTTATAAAACTATTATTAAAAAGTATTTATAAATTTTCAAAATAAAATTTGGAGTAGGTGCAAAACTTAGTCATTTATCAGTTATATAGGTTTATATACAACATATTCTGTACATAATGTTGTAGTTCATTATCGGAGCACTTTTTAAATAGTCAATCAGAATTGTTAACCCTTCTTTGCATGATTTTTTTTATGTGAGTGATTTAGTGAAATAAATCAAGGTGATATAATTCATGCTCAAAATTAAAGGGAAAATAGTTAAAAAAATAAATTTGACAGCTATATTTTTTTTCTGCAATGGACATTAAAAAGGTATCCAGACACAATCAACTTAAAGTGAACTTGTTCTTTTATAAAATTTTTGGGCATTCAATGTTATTAATGAAATTTTCACCATTATGCGAAGAAGGGTTAAAACTTGTTCCAATCATGAATCTGAAATGTTGCCATATTTCCTTAAGTCAAGTCTTGCCAATTCTTTGGGATAATTGGATTGACACATTGTCACTGTATGGATGTCCATATATGAATGTAAATGTTGACGACCTGTCTTTATTTACAGGTGAAATCTAAATGTGGGTAATTATAGGTGTGTTCTACCAGCAAAAATGGACATTTTTCACTGAAGAACCATGGGGCAAAAAAATAACAGGAATTTTGTATGGAGGATAAACTTTTTGTTATTTTTGTATTTTTTTTCACTCACTTATGAAACCGTCTGAAATATTCAAATTTAAAGTATAGTATTTTTAGTTATACTTCTTCTGTTAACGATTTCACCCTGTAGTTAATGTTATAAATAAGATAGTCACTTAATTATTTACCAATATTCAAATCATAGTACAAACTAAAATTTGCCATAATGACTTTAATATGTACATTATACTATGTGCTTTAGCATTAGACTACTTAGTTTTATATTAAACTACTAAGATAACTTAATCTTTTGTTTTTGTATTGAAAATCATGTTTAAAAAAAAAACTGGTCAGTTGCGACTGGACCCGCACACCGAGGGTTCCATACATAAAATTAATCTGTAAATATTTTTTGTTTACATGAAAATTTATTACAGTATTATACAGCAGGCATTTATTTAAATAAATTTTCAAATAATTCTTGTACATACTAATTGATACCCCGCTAGCGTATATCGACAGCGCAGACAGGGTTACCATCTATTTTCAACCTATTGAAAAAAAAAACAACAATAAATTCATCCTAGGCAATAAGTTAGTAGACATTAGACAACAGTGCACGTATCTGTGTATGTACAATAGACACCTGCGTCATGCGTCGGCTTTAGTCAACTAACTTGACGCTAGAGATTTACGACCTTCATAAACATCTGGCAAGCATTGCCGATAACTTTTGTAATGACAAATTTAGTTAATCAATTCTAAGTAGATGCATTTATATAGTAATACTTATAATTATTTTAAGGCGCAGGACTGTTAAAAATTTTTAATTAAATGATAAAACACCAATGTTTATTTTTTTATGAATGATAATGGTATGGTAAACCCGCCAGCGCTATCGGTATACACTAGGTGGACACCAGTGAGGGATGAATGGTGAGGATGAAAAGGCAGGTCAGTTAGTCCATCGTGACGAATTCAACGATAAATTAGTCACGATGGTTTTTAGGGGGAACCGTGGAGGTTGACCTGATGATGCAATGGGAACTAGCCTTCCCATTACTAACAATCCATTCCCCCCTACCAATGCGTATTGTCCATCGGTCACATCTCAAACTGGTTTACATTTCTTTAAAAATATAGCTGAAAAGAATCTAAATTATATATTATTATTAGTTGTCTATAGGTAACGGTTACTATTTTCCATCAGGCGGGCCAGCAGCTCGTTTCTTGCCAGTCAAAGTTGCATAAAAAAAAAGAAAAATATCGACAAATACGGCCATAATATGTTGGAGAAAAATTTTACAATATTTACCCAGTATTTATTTCCACTAAAGAGGGGAAAGGGATTGTTAGTAATGAGTCTAACAGCTCCACAACTAGCAATATACCCTATCAGAACGCCTTCCACGTGGTTCTCTCTGGAAACCATCGCGGTTAATTCTTTTCGAATTCGTCTTGACAAGCCAACTGATGTGCTTTCATCCTCACTTTTCATCCCTCACTGCTGCCAGCGAATACCCATACAGCAGACGGGGTAACCATTAGAGTTCACCTTTTAAAAAAAATATTATAAAGCTGAAAGATTTGATCGTTTGTTTGTAATGGATAAACTCGAAAACTCCTAAACCAATTTTAAAAAATCTTTCACCATAAAATAGCTATATTATCGTCAAGTAACATATGTTAAGCTAATATTATTTTTTAAAAAAATCTATTTATACTTACGAATCTATCGGAATGCTACTATACATTATGTAAGCGACGGTTTTTTTTTATAGGTGAAAATGGAATGGTAACCCCTGCGCTAACGGGATACGCTGGCGGACCACCAGTGAAGGGTGATAGATGAGAATGAAAACAGACCAGTTAGCCCATCATGATGAATTCATCAGGAATTAACCATGATAGTTTCCAGGGAGAACCGCGAGGAGGTCGACCTGGCTGGGTAAATATACCCAGTCAGGTTGACCTCCTCGCGCTAGCAATAGCTAGCAATGGGATTTTCAGTTTCCATTACTAACAATCCCTTTCACCCTGTAAGCGACGGTTATCTATCACTTTCCCCCAGGTGGTCTGTTAGCTTGTAAGGTATTCCAAGTTGGATAAAAAATGAAAAATAAAATTCCCCCTTAAAAGATATTGTTAAGAATGCATTGCGCGAACATTTTTTATTTAATTTGTCTGGCTGTCTACGTGTTTATCATTTGCAATGTTCTATCGTGTAATCATTAACAGCTACATTATGCAAGCTGTTGATAATAAATAAAAACCAACTCCATACATGGTCCATGAAATAATTCAGTATGATTCAGACGAGGAATCTGAGAATTGGCGGCGCCTAGTTTTCTGCTTGATCACGTTTTTGCTAGGTAACTGTGTAGATATTATGTAGGTAAGTTTATTGTTTGATAAATTAATTGAATTTCAGTTTTAATAAATTATACAAATTTAACAAGTAATAATATGAAAAACTAAAAAAAGTTTTTTTTTATATACATCAGAACTATTGAGGACAGAAGGGGAAAAATGTTGGGACACTTGATACGACACGACGAACTTATGAACATTATAACAGAAGGTAAGATAGAAGGAAGGAGGGGGAGAGGGAGACCGAGACATAGTTACATCAGGCAGATCAAGGAAGGAGTTGGTGTCGTGTCGTAGCAAGAGGTGAAGAGACTCGCTGAAAATCGTAGTGAGTGGCAAGAGCTCCACCGACAACAGCGCAGCTCTTAAATAGGATAGAGATATATCTCAGAATGGCGAACAAGCTGACGACCCGCCTGATGGAAAGTGGTAACCTTAAAATCGGGTTTATTCGTAATAGATGTATTTCTTTAATTAATGATAGTGGAATTGTAACCCCGCCTGCGCTAACGGTATACGCTGGCGACGCACCAGTGAGGAATAAAAGGTGAGAATGAAAGGGCAGGTCAGTTAGCCCATCGTGATGAATACACCTGAAATTCAGCACGATGGTTTCCAGGGGGGATCACGTGGAGAATAGAAATTCGCATTACTAATAATTCTTCCCCCCCTCCCCCTCCCTGTAAGCTATCGTGACTAATTTATTTTTAAATTAGTCACGATGGGCTAACTGACCTGACTTGAACCTCACCTATCGGGGGAAAGGGATTGTTAGTAATGAGGTCTAATAGCCCCGTTGCTAGCAATTGACCCTCTCAGGTTGATCATCACGCGGTTCCCCTTGGAAACAATCATGGTTAATTCTTGTCGAATTCATCATGGTGGGCCAACTGACCTGAATTCATTCTCACTTATCACCTTCCACTAGTATCCCGTCGAAGTATACCGATAGCGTAGGCGGAGTTACAGCTTCATTTTCACGCCATAAAAACCTATTTATGTAGGCTAAAAGCTTTGAATAGTCACGTGATTCAGTGTTTAACTACAACATTTTTTTATACAAATAATCTGACTGACTGAGTGAGAATTTGATGGAAAGTGGTTACCGTTTTCGATAGACATCAACAAAACCATGGGCATTATTGAATATACTGTGACGTCCATGGTACCTCTAATACGTTGTCCATCCTAAAAAACTAAAATCTTATACTTCTGTACTAAGTATAACTGCCTTTATACCACCCTTAAAATAGAAAGACAAGCATACAAGCTGTATGATGTATATATGAATACACGAATGGGACA